ATTTGTGTAAACATCAATAATGATGCATCGCTACACTCCTTGAGTCAAAAGTGGTGTGTCTCTAGAGATATTGGGAAGGGACAATGACTTTGGACTGATGGATGGGCTTGGTGGTTGGTGCTCTTGCGTCGTCAGCAGGTAGCGCGTGCGTCAGACAGTGTTTCGACCCATTATTACCTGGACACCTAGCACGTGTGGGTCGATGAGGTTCTTTATAGAGCCTCACCCGCAGACGGGCACCATTGGTCATTCCGCTTCAGCCACAGCCATCTGGAGCAGGACTCTGCCACACCGCCAATAGACTTAGTGGCACGCTTGAGATCAGAGGGGGACAGGCCTAGTGAGCGGAGAAGTGAGCGAAGGGAAGTGGTAGGGAATCCCATGCAGCCTACTTCAACAGCAAAAAGTGTGGCATGCCATCCTTTCAGTTTGGCTTCATCTAGTAGGTCCTGGTATTTGTTGCTCTTGAGTTCATGAGAGATGTCTAGTCTGTCCTCACATGGTACAGTCAACTCTACCATTATGATGGACTTGCTGGCATTTGAATTGAGTACCATGTCTGGGCGGAGAGATGTAACTGCCACCTCAGGGGGAAAGACTAGCTTTTTCTTCAGGTCTACTTGAAGGGTCCAGTCTGTAGCTTGGGTGAGGATTGATGGTCGTGTAACTGGCTTTGGGAGTGTTGCTGGTGGAGTTTTGCCCTCTCTAATGAACTCAATGTGTTTCATTCCTGTGGGTGCCTGCCTCTGGTTGGCTTTGAGGCGCTCCTGGTCGACCCACTTGGCAATTTCTGACAACACTTGATCATGCCGCCAGCGGTATCTTCCTTCCCCGAGAGCTTTTGGACAGCCAGATAGAATATGGTTGATGGTGCAGATGGGCGCGCCACAGGATGTACATGCAGCTTCTTCAGACTTTCCCCAGGTCTTCAAGTTAGCAGGAGTGGGAAGGGCGTCTGCAAGGCCTCTTAGGAGAAAGCTAAGTCGTCCCTGATCTGTGGTCCATAGGTCTTTCCAGGACAGGTGTCTGTCAAGAGCAGATTCCCATTGGGTCCATCTGCCTTGCTTTACTAGGGTAACTGCCTTGACTCTTCGACTCTGCTCTTCTCCCTTTCTCACTTGTTGAACAATCCTATCACGCCTGGCTTTGGGGTCAGTCTCACTCCACTGTTGGGGGCCATAATTGCCTAGTCCGAGCCGTCCTTTGCAGGTAACACCAACAATGGCCTGATGTCTCAGCTGATCCTCCGCTTCAGTTACTGCTGCCTGTGGATTCCAAGAAGTTCCACATTTCACGGTGTCTCCAGCTTTGTGAACTCTGGTATCTCTGGATGCCTTGAGAGTACAGAGGGCTCTGGTCTTGGATGCCTTGAATTCTTCAGTAACTGCTGTTACAGGCAGAGTAAGCTTGGAGGTTTTACTGTAGATGTTGACTGAAGAAAAGTTTGGTGGAACGCCCAGCCATTTGCGTAAGAATCTGGTGCATAGGTTCTCCATGGACTTTACTGCCGTCAGTGGGATATCATACAGCAAAAATGGCCACTGAAGTCTTGGGATGATGCCAAACTGAAAGCACCAGACTTTGAAACGTCCTTGGAGCTGGCTGTTATCCACTGCTTTGAGCCAATCACTTAGTTCTTTCATGATGTCCATGGTGTTGTTGGCATCTTTAAGTGAGCTGTCGTAATGTTTGCCAAGACACTTTATTCGCTTCTCCTGTATAGTTGGAATAGGTTTGCCTTGGATATCAAAGCGCTGGTTGATTGTCTTGCCTTTGTATATTACGAGGCTTCTGGACCTGTGCAAGATCGTCCATTCTTGATGAGCTTTGTTAATTCTTCTTTATCGAGTAGCAGACGAGATAAAGAAACATTATCAAAGCGACTGTCGGATAAATTATGAATGTAGTTTCGCACAGGTGTCAACGGAACCAAACAGTGAACCCCGCTTTCCGAACCCGAGTTTCCAGGATTCGCCTCGCATTCCTCCGACTGTTAAGATTTGGGCCCTAATTTTCTTCCGCGCAAACGCGGAAATATATTGTACACCTACTTTATCATCCTGGTGTCTCGTTTATAACACCCTTGTAATTACAATGCGAAGTTACTTAAGCATGATAATGTGTGGACGGGGGGGGGTTTGACCCCCCACTTACCAAAAGCTGGGACATGCATACCTCTATATACTCAACCGGCCAAGTATTAACAGTACAAAAGGGAGAAAAATCCACCAGGTCCATAGTTCTACATGTTCACGTTCAAGTTTAAAAAATGTGTATCTTAAATTAATGTAGAACTACGCCTTTATACCAGTGACACACTTTCATAGGTGCGTCTTTACAATGAAACACAATAACGAGAATTGCAACTTTAGTATCTTGAAAAAAGTTGCAATATCCTTCCTGATAAGAATCGGTTTCCATGTACAACTAAAACACTATATAAAATAACTATCTATACACCATCAATGCAAATATATGCTTTCTTCCATTCTGATACTCATGGCATCTTTCTGTTTCACCTGAAACACAGGGAGGGCTGAGAAGAAATGAGATGTCATGGTTTATCATGATGGCTTTCTTCGAGAATACATAATGCGGGCCCGGGAATGCGGGGTGCCACATTCATTGCAACACACCTTGCAACAATGTCTTATGAGGGTAATTTCTTATATTGAGAAGTTTATCATCTATTGAAATTAAATACTTGTAGCTACAAAAAGCGAATTTGTTTGAGCAGTCCTAGCTCGACATATTATAAAGAAAACAATATTTACAACATGGTATTCTTAGTAGACTGTTCAATTTGGAATTTCGAAGCTTAGCTTTATCGAAGCTTTATCAAAGTCTTCCATGCAAATTAAGGTGCGAATTCACATTAACAAATTAAGATAAGATCCACAATCGGTTATCAAATGGTTAAATGCGCAAAATGTGTAGATATGTTTTCCTTTACTCGAGTCTCTAGCTCTAGAGAAGGCTTTGGACCAAAGTAAGTTCTCCTTAATAATGTGTGAGGAGGCCTTTCAGCCAATTTTCGAAAACGTAGTGAGAACAAGTTTGGTGTAGAGGGGAGGGGGATATCTCCCACCTCGGTCTCTCTCTATACCGGCCGATTGAGTGTTTTATTCAATATCGTATTCAATTTTGAACAAAATACTCAATCGGCCGGGCACCGTAGTGAAAATCGGGGATAATTTGACCAAAGCATTAGGACGCATTGTTTACGATTTTAGAAAGAATCGACCAGTCTTGACCTGTCTGGAAATTAGGTGGATAATTCAATAATCTATTGGGACGTATTGAGAACGAGGTAGAACTAATTGCCAATGGGTTTAAACTGATTAAAAAGGAGGTAGTGTAACTGCTCGAATACGTTGAGTAGACGAGATTGACGCGCAATTTCACTCAATCTAAACTTGATAGCAATGGACTCCAGATTGAATAAAGACGGGACGGACGTATTGACGACTGCTTATAAACGAGTTAGCAAAGATAAAATAGCTATCACATCAAACAAGCTGTCGCTGCGTTCTTTACAACGATGCCGAACTGGTATAGACTGTGTGCGAACGTAATGATACGGTAGATGCACCTTTCTACGGTCTATTTACGAGCTTCGTGGACGTGGTCGAACAGGAAGGTGAAACATCATTTTAACCATTAATTAAGGTATTACGTCAACTATAGAGTAGTTTAATTCCATGAAAACTGAAAATATCGAAATCGACACTTCCCGTTCGCCATCTTTAATCAGCGGCGAAGGTGACTGCCGTAACCTTCGCTTGATACTGACCAGTGATTCTGTCATTAGATCGTATGGCAACGTACTTTAATAGAGATGACCAACTAGACTAGAAACATAGCCTAATTGCCATCCTTCGCCCCTAAGTTAGGGAAGCGTAGTTCTCAACCGTTCTTTCCGGTCCTACAAAAAGTCGCCAAAACGGGCTAAATCTGGCTGTGGACGGGAAATATGTCTAATCTAAGTAATAAAAGCTACTTCGTTCATAAGCAGTCGTCAATAATCTCCTTCGCAGCTCGTGAGTCAGTGAGCACCATGTTGGTGAGCACACGTATTGCAATTGATATCCGATTGCACAATGTCATTAACGCGTCGCAAATAGGGTCATAGGTACGGCAACTACGTTCGTAGTGTAGTAGGTCATCTCGTTTGTTAAGTTGTCACACGATCTAAATTACAGAATGGTATGGTCGCCATCGAATTTTTAGTATTGTTTCAAGACTGTGGACTACTTCACCAACACAGATAGAAAAGGGCCTTGTAAGCTAGACTATGGTCTAAATGAAATGAAATGGTTCAAAATTTTAAATCACTCTGCCATCCGAGCACGTCCATGATCATGAAGTTCGTAAATAGACTGTAGGAAGTTGCAACTATGTTCATTCCGTTCGCATACACGTTTAAAACCAGTTCGGCCTGAACGTTTTGAAGAACTCTGTGACAACTAGTTTGACGCAATCAGATATCAATTGCAGTATGTGTGGACGCCGAATTTGGTGCGAACTGCGAACTGAACGAACTGCGAATGAGATGGACGAATTGGCTGTTTATGACGGGGTTTATGAACGAAGTAGTTAATCATTTTAGACATATTTCACGACCACAGGCAGATTAAGCCCGTTTTGCGACTTTTTTGTTTGAAGAACTAGTGTGAAGTTGTTGAAAACTAGTTTGGTGTGATTTTTTTAAAATTTGATATTGCAATGTGCATGAGCTAAAGAAATTGATCAAATAAAAATCTGTAAATATTAAGATTATATGCCATCATCGAAACAATATGTCAACACTTTTGAAGTGGTGATATAAAAATGGTTTTCTTCTGAAGTGGATGACGTTAAATGGTTTTCTGAATCACTCACAAGTCAAAGAAGTAAATTAAAAGAAACTGGGAATGAAACAGGGCTTTTTATGTGTTATTAATAGATTCATCATACTAATTAATAAAAACCTAGAATGAAGTAAAAAGACAAAAATAGAGTAATTTTCTTATAAAAATAAAATTTATTGAATAATACTTGTGTAAATAATTCTAGTATTCTTCTAGCTCTTGAAATTGTGGCATATATTATTACATCGAACGGTTGTTTCTACCGTGACATAAGTTGGTTCTTCACCGTGACAAACTGTGACCCTGAGACATCTATTTTTCTTTCTCCACCTTTGTTACAGTTTCTGATAAAGGTGTCGCTGGCTGCCAATGGTCAAGGTCCCTCACACGAGTGATTTCATTCTCATATCTTTCTCGTTTCTCTTTCTGGCTAAACGTTTCCCTGGAAAATATAGAGACAAAAATTAAAAGATTAAAAAATAGGGAGTATGATTACCATGAGAAGTCCACTTTCTACTAGGACAACAATTGTAAGTTGATACATTTATCTCATTCAGCCATAAAATCGGGAAAAAATAAATTTTGTCTCTTATATCATGTCCAATGGCCCACTTACCTTCTTCCGTATGATATATTCTGCAGTGGAACAAACGTATCAGGCTTGTCTGATGGTTCTCCCCCAAAGTTCACCACTGGTCTAGTACTGCCAATTTTATGAAAACTGGGAGAATATTCTGAAACTTGATAACTCTTGTCTCCCGGCGCCGCTCTCCAAATAGCACCACGTTTTGTCATCACATTTGGAAATTTTCTATTGCACCCAAAAAGTTCAGTATGTGTTATTTCTCTGTTGGATTCATTACTGCTTTTATGTTCATTATTTATTATACAACGGCGCCCTCTATTGTATCCATTGTCATAAAATACCCACTCATCTCTACCTGTACGCCATCTTTCTGAAATAAATAATAATGATTTTAATTTGGGTTTATCACAATAATGGTGTATTGAGAAGATGTCATTTATACTTTCTTTTCATAATCCAAGATGATTGATTAATGGAGGGTTTCCTAATCACATTTTAATCAGAAAATAATCTACACAATACGATTGTATCACATTTTTACACTTTACACAAACTTTACATTGTAAGTGTAAACACCCTGTGTATTAGGAGTCGCCAACCCAACTTACCTGCGTTTGGTCTCAGGGACTTCCAATTTTCAGGAAAGATAGGCTCTGCAGGGTAATCGTCGCTGTGATTTGGTTCTAAGTACCGAAGTTTTGAGTTCCAGTCAGGCCCGGCTTCTGTATACCTATAATAATACACCATGAGTTTAGAAATATATTATTTTTATGATGTACTAGTTCTCCTTTATTTATATTATGGTCAGGTACTGGAGATGGAGATATTAACACAACAGACAATATTAGTAAATCTTCAGAGGGCTTCAATTTACCTGACTTCTAAGCGTACCAGCGTAAAGGTAAAAGAGATTGGCCCATCGCTTTGCAAGGCACTGGGTCTAAAGAAGGAGAAACAACCAAGACCGTTTGAGTCAATGGATGAAGGTATTGTTTAGTTTAGTTCTAATAGCATATGATAGTTTTATTACCTCTTACTAGTCATGATATGTCAAAGACAACATTCAAATCGCAACCACAACATACCTTGGTTGTAACATCTGAGCATGGGGTTGCCAATCTGTATCATCCTTAGAAGATGTACCATGAGGTATATACACTCTACCCCTTGGTATTTGCCTTGGCCTTTCTCCGGGAACATTATGAAGATCTGGAAAGTGCTTTTTCTCTCGCTCTACAAAATATGAAACATGTAGACTGCAACTGCCTTGAAATAACTATCTTAATATGGACAATTTTAAATTCCACGGCTATCAAGAAGTGAGAAAGTGGGTGTAGCACATGGTAACATAATCGAACTTTATCTGACTTTATTAGATAGATGCATAAACTAACTTAATCGGATGAATGTTGAATTTTATCTAGTTTAGGATTAGTTTTGTGTAGAATATATTGCAGAACTGTGTGTAAAATGTAAAAAAGTATACAGTATCCAATATATTTATTTAATACTTTCTGTAGATATACTACCAGTGAATATATTCATCCTAAACAATAAACTAAAGAAACTATCATCATCACTAAGCCATGCGACCTAAATACCCTTGAGATATACATACAATCTCTATCAGAACCACACCCGGAAGTACAGTAGATTACTATAGCTTCAATTCAAACGCTTTTCACGTGTGTACAACAACATACACGTACCTGTTCTCCCGGGTTTTCCTATCTCAGTGATCAGATGCAACATTGTCTATGTCTTATCCTGATGTTAACGTAATACTTCTTTCTTTAAATGTATAAAAAGCTCCAATAGTAAAAATGACGATCTGCTAAATGTAAACAAACATGGCAAGTTGTATAGTCACGTGGTTCACTTTTTGCTATGCAACCATGACAAGCTAATACATTCGATAAAAACAAATTAGCTTATATTGTTCTGATTTCAACCAACATCAGTTTTATTTGACGTATTATTAATTTTTTCAATTTATTTGTAAAAAGTATTAAGGCACTAGGTTTATTTGCTAAGGAGTGAGTTACAAACTATTTGTTTTAGCTTGTCACTAGAATACTGAACGAAATAGCTATATTTGATTTCTAATTTTCCCGGGGTATATGCCAATCAGATGTCATCACGGCAACTAAGAGCAAACTCAGAAACTAGATACTAGTATGCTCTTGCTTGGAATGCTTGATCAAATGAGATGTGTTGCAACTTCATAGCTTGTATAACCATGACACTTTGCAGATTGTTCAGGATGATTACAAAATAATTAATACTCTTAATGAGTGATCATGATTATTAGTTACAGTGCTTTATATGATTTTAAAGTAACAGTCATTTGGAATCACATTTTAAAACTAAAAGTCACAAGCAGCAACAATTGAAATCAAGTTTTATAGCATAGGCTAAGGGTTAAGTAATAGTAAGCTGTATATATAAGAGACAGGTCCACAAGTAAGATTGAAAATTATTCAAATTTTTTTAGTCTTGGCACTAGTTCTCCTTACTGGTATCAAATTTTACTTCAAAATTTCTCCAAAATCTTCTTCAAAGTGTTTTTCAAACTTATATCATTGTTTTTTTCAAATCTTTATCTAAAAACTGCATATTATACTGCATATAAAACAACAACTATGGAAACCTACAATTGCCTGGCAAGCTGAAACTGATTGTCACTGGTGGAGGTCAGGGAGGTCAGCAGTGACCAATCAGATCACTTGTTTACTAATGAACTTGCCAGGCAATTGTAGGTTTTCAGAAATTCTCTCTTTTAGACAGCATTATTCACTCTATATCATCTGACTGAGTTTCAATCTTAGGTAAGAGCTACAAACTATCAATTTTATATCAACTCCCCATGGCTTTTTGAAAATAATACACTAAATATTGTTGAAATCTCCATCTTAACAAGTGGTCTAAGTCAGAGTTGTTCACCTGTCTCTTATATATACAGCTTACTATTACTTAACCCTTAGCCTATGTTTTATAGTTCATATTGACTTTCAAGTGTGGTCACAATATCAATGTCTTAATAAAATTCAAATTACACTCAGACTGCCACCATATTATCACTTCAACATTTCCATTGTAATATTTGGTCTTCATTTTAAAACAACCAAAAAGGTATTGCAACATTACTAATCATTTTGACTGATTTAATGAAATTATAGGCAGTTATTTTGTCATGCAATAAAATCAACCATTCCAATCTTTAGTCATTAAAAACTAACTTAAAGGATAAAGTGTTCATAATTTTATGTAAAAAGGTTTAAAAAAACGATTTATCTTTTTTGTATTTTTCATCTCGTATCTTTGTTTATTGTGTTGCAAAGCTGTCAAACACAAATGCAATGAAGGAAAACAAATACTGTAGACAACAGAATAAGAATATACGTGTACCAGGCTGTGTGACACACTTTGGGGGTTTTCAAATAGTTTTAAAAGGGAATAGGTTTCCAAAAAAGAATAGCTTACCTTGCTATTCAAAGGTATAATGATCACCGTCTGTCCACTTACCCTTTAATGACAAAACAATGTTTCACATTTTCACATATTTACAATGCACAATATTTATTAAATTACCTACTATTTTACATAGTATACTGTACATGATTTATGACTATTTAATGCAAAAATCAAAAAAACATAAATAAATTATTCTTTATTCACATGAGTATCCAAATAACTTTACACGGTATAGTCAAATCTGCTAGTATAAGAGATAAAGGTCCTGAGAAAACTTGTCCATCTTCTTAGTGAGTTCAATCTGGCAAATAAGGAAGACCATTAATCCTGTTAAATAATTAGAGTGATCATGGAATGTACATGACAGAAAGAATACATGACCAGTAACAAAAAATTACACTGAATATAAATTAAAGTACAAATTCATACAAAATTAGGTCTGGTTTTCATACTAAGAATCACATCACATTATACAATTGAAAAATATTACATTTATTTACAAGAAAAATTCTTGATAGCAAAGTTAAAAACTCTGATCACCTGTTTTTTTTCTTGAAAAATCTGAAACACAATTGATGTGCATAAAGAATTAGGTTTTGAAAACTGTCTGGGAAGAAGTTGAAAATACATATTTTTAGAACAATGACAGATGAACAGATAGCTTTTTCCCATTTCAGGATTTAAAAGGAGTTATAGTATCATGGTTAATGTCTGATGTTTTGCATTGTCCACTTTTTCAGAAAACTGTTTCATTTACATGTACTGCTTTACCAATTTTGATTTGTATTTTGACATCATATAATGAGTACATTAAAACCTTTTTATACTTGAATACTTCTCTAATCTGAACAACTCTCAATGAGAACATGTTTTTCCAGTCCCATCTTTTAATTTGCCATAGATTATGATTATTGAAGACCTTGAAATGTGAACACTCGTTATTTTGAATTCTTTTGGCCAGTCTCAATGGTATTTGGATTAGACAGGTTTTACTGTATATTTTCTTAATAATCATCCTAGTTTAACATGCTATGTCTGTCATATACATTCGCTCTCTGTTCTTCCACCGAACCTTTCCATCGTACTTGTTGGTTTTTGATATCTTTTGCCACACGAATTGCCTGCTGAGAGCGAGGCCTAGTGGTGCCACCTGTTGCACTGGCCCCAGGTGGGGCATTCATAGATACACGATGCACTGAGTGGTCATCCTGGAAAATGGTGAACATTGTATGCATATGGTATAATATATATACATATATAAAAGCTGCAAATTAAAATAAAGCTGCCAATTAAATCAAAAGAGCTGCCATTTTACTGATAGTATATAGAATTACCAATTTTTAAATAGAGCTACCAATTAAAAACACAATCCTCATCTAAACATTGAGTAGAGCTGAATTAAAAACATACCATTGCTATTTTGTAATAATTTGTGCTATTTGATAAAATAAAAATCACCAGTTGTCATCTTAGCACTGCAAAGTTCTTCAAATTGTCAGCCTTAAAAATGTATTACTTATAATTAAAGTTATTAAGAAGTTTACATTCTAAACCCAGCACCTGATGCACAAAATATCTAAACGACAGGAATAGAAGATATACTGTACGCCCGGTATTATTCGCGAGCTTTAATTTCGCGAATTTTGCGAAAACACGGTTTCGCGGCTATTAAATTTCGCGAATACTGTATTTTATCGTATTCGGGGATTCCCCAGTATATGATGTCCAATCAAATTGCAGGCTACGATCACGTGAACAATCGTGCGCACGTGCGCTTTCATTGCCGCGCATGCGCATAGTAAAGTCATGGAGTTGCACAGTACTATTGAAGTACTATAACTCGATCCAAACTAGTAGATAAAACGAAATGCATCAGAGCCCCGGGTAAAAACAAATTCCCGGGGATTTAATTTGCAATTTCGCGACGATAATTTTTCGCGATTTTAACACCCTCGCGAAAAGCGCGAAAGTTAATCGCACGCGAATAATACCGGGCGTACAGTAATACACAAAGAAGAGGCAGGTTTAGTTAGAATTGATTTTAGAAGGTATAAATTAGATAAGTATATAGGCCCATTCCCAGATGATTGCTGGAGATATACAGTAAAACTAGTCAGCAGAAGATCAGATTAAAGTATAGCATCTGAAGTGAACAGACTTGGTGTCAAACCTTGTATTACCCATAAATACAAGAACCCATAGCTACAACCCATGAATATAGGAACCTAAACAAGTCGCTTATGTACAAAATATAGATTGATCAATAAAGTGTTTGAGATCAGGTACTTAATATGTTAGGAATATAAATAGATGTATAAAATGCAATTATACAATATATAATTTGATCATCAGTCAATGGACATTTTGTCTCAAAGAATTTCTGGTGGTCATAAAAGAGAACAATTTAAGGGATTATTCAGGAGGAGGGGTCATATACTGTCAGGAAAAAATGGGGCTGTCTTTACAGGAAGAAAGATAGTAGTGGATTTACATGAATTTGTATTATTTCTGAGAGTCATTTCCTGAAAACATTCTACTATTTGAAATATTGAGTTAGCTAACAAAATTAGCATATTTAGAATATTTACAGTGAGCAGAATGATAGGGAATCAGGCATCACAATGTAAAATGTTTTCAGGAAACAGGACCAGTTTTCTCATCGGTCTATGCATCAGGTGGATAGAAAAATGGCAGTGGCAGTCAGGCAGGTCTCTACATATTAATACATGTATATTCATATGACTAGTATCAAGTTTGCCATATCTGGACATATCAAAATTTGAATTCAAACAGCCGCCATTTTGTTCACTTCAACATTTGAATTTTTGGTCTTATTTCCAAACAAAAATTCTAAAATGCACAAGATTGAAATGATCGAAATATTGGTTCCAATCTTTTTGATTGTTTATTTTGAATTGGCTTTGTATAAAAAACCTCCTACCTCATACCCACCTACCCACCTACGTGGAACATGATACAGTCATTGAAGGGTTCAATTTTAATGATGATTAAATCTCAAAATAGCTCAAAGTATTAACATTTCTACAATTCCGGCTTTGTTTATGACTAGACAGATGACAGATCCATAAATAAAGGCATGTGGATGCATTTTAATGTGTAATGACCCGAGGGCGCCCCGGGGGAATAAATAACTAACGACCGCGACCATAGGTCCAACAAGCCAGATAAAGAAATTGAAAGAAAGTGTGCTAAATTCGATGCTCCGAGTGGGAATCGAACCCAGCTGGGATGTAGTAGCAACTTGCTATCAAGGGTCGTTACAAATGCTTCTATAATTCATCATAAACTAAGATTTAAAATTGAACCCTTCAAAGACTGTATTATGTCCCACGTACGTGGGTAGGTGGGTATGAGGTAGGAGGTTTTTTATACAAAGCCTTTTGAATTCATATTTCATTGTTGGAATATAATGAGTTTCGATCCTGAAAGCAATCCTCCTTGACGAGTTTATCAAATAAATACTTGGATAAACTACCCTGCCATCTTTATATCAACCTAGAACCTTGAGTACTCTTCAGACTGCTGAAATTTCTAAACATAGCACCTTCAAAAAGACCTTAATTAAAAGACATGCAATACCATACCATACCTCATCCACAACCAATCTCAATGTCTTAGCAAAATAAAATGGATTTAGTTTGTTATTTATTTTGCTCCCAAACTAAAAATGGCTCATTTTGGAAATAATTGAATCACACCTTTGAAAATGGTCTCACATAGCAATAGTATTTCATGTACTATTTATAAAGAAAAGTAATGAAGACTCAATGGGCCACGAGGAATATCATGGAAGTACATGTATAGGTCCCAATATACTATAATAAAAATAGGGAATATTCAAGTATACACCACATCTTAAGTGTAAATTTGACTCCAATCCCAAGAATAGGTAAAACTATTCTATTATCCACCATAAAATGCCACACCAATCATGCCTTATTCAATTAGTTCAAATATCTTCTTTGCTTAGCTTTCTGATACTATAATCCATACAAGACTTTTCCTAATTGGTTCATATATGTTCAACTCTATTATGAAAAGGAAGGCAGGGCTGGTTTGACCTTTTATAGACAACTCATGTTGACCTCTAACACATGCCTTATATACATGTATATTTATGTATTACCTTTATAATTCTTAACAGTGGAAAACTGTTTTGCATTAACTTATAACAAACAAGGTTCATCGTCAGACTTAAGAATGTAGGTACAGACAATTCACATACTGTTATACAATTTATACCAAGCATCCATGTAGCTTCTAAAGCACAAGTTTCAAAGATATTTGACAAACATGGAAAAAGTAATGATTTAAAGAAATTAAAGCTACAGTAGTTGCTATTAGAATAGAAGTTATATTTAAATATTTAGATGTACGATGTGGAAACCCCTCTTTCAATTATTCATTGATTCTGAATCATTTTTGGAATGCTGAGAAGTCTTGTACATGAATATAGGTAGCAATATGCAGCATAAGTAGTTTTCTACTAGCAATATGCAATAGTTGTGTTGCATCAGTTTTAAACTATGTGTTGAATATGTACACAATAAGCAAGCCCAAATTAGTCCAAACTTAATTTCTATAGGCATAGTTATAACGATTTCTGAAGGATAGAGCACAATTTCCAATTTTTTTTCTGTACATTATTTTGTTATATCTTAGTTATAGTTATAGATCTAATTGGAAGTGTTAAAGGTGTTTTAAGAGGATGAGGAAATCATTCAAATCATCATTTCAGAATTGTAGTTAGTAATGGCCTGTTGGCTATTTGATTATATGTATGTTACATTTGGGTTAATAACCTTACCAAATAGTTTTCACCACGACTTCCCTAAATCAAATCATTCAAACAAAAAAAAATTAAGTGATTTAAATATCAAGTCATCATTTCGTTTTTTTACTTACATTTTGTAAAATATTGACCAATTCATCTATTTCATCTATCACACTCAACATGCTGACATGCGTTCACATTTTTATATTCAAAATAACGTTTATGTAAATTTTACTTTGCATTTTTATATTCAAAATAAAGTTTCCGTAAATTTTACTTAAATAATATTAACAACGAATTAATTACATTATAAGGGCATCTTTAAGTTAAATAAAGATTTTTGAAATTATCAAATTTATATGGGGTCAATACATTGTGTTATTGTTAGTACATCCCAAAAATCACACATTAGTAAATGTATTATTGAGGTTCTCCATATTTATTCCACAGTGGCAGTTTAATCATTTGTCCAGGAGTTGTTATTTTTTGTCCTTCTGTGAATCATATTTCAAACATCAGGGCATAAACCTACAACCTAATGTGCAATTAATATATTTTAAATGACCACATGCTGAAGTATTGGATCTTATTTATGCATGCAATTATTTTTTAGGTGAGAGCAAATTGTTGTACTTTTACAAGAGTATCACTTTAACACATAAATTATCACATTAAACACCAAATTATCCTAATATGTTATCCACTTTCAATATGCAAATAGCCAATAGGAATTCAATCTCAAAATGCAATGGACAAATAGGAGTTCACTGTCAAGATGCAATGGACCAATAGGAATTCAATGTCAAGATGCAATTGACCAATTGGAATCCAATGTCAAGGTGCAGATAACCAATAGGAATTAACTATCAAGATGCAATGAACCAATGGGAATTCACTGTCAATATGCAGATAACCAATAATAGCAAATATCAAACTTACAACTGGATAAACATGACCTTGTTGGCGGTTCTAAATTGAACAATATATACTTTGTAAGCAGAATTATTCTAAACTTCAAAGGTTTGATTAAATAAGAAGCATTACATATTTGACCAATATTATATAATGGGCATATAACACACTTGCATATAGGGATTTCAATGCTATCTTATAGTGTTTCAAATATTAAAACTGAATGATAATGACATGTGCCAACTTACTGACTTATGTAAATTATGTTCTACCATTATTTACCATAAATATAGCTGAAGGTCAGTTCTCAAAAATATTATTACCATTCACAAAATTTCAGAAACTGACATGAACATTTTTTGAGAAACATAACCTTGTGTGTCTACCATTCCATATTGAAAATATTAAACCTTACTGACATGTTGTCATGGTAACCAGACTTTTCAAAGTAATCAATAGTATGAAGTGAACAAACAGGAAGTTCAACTAATCCCATTAACTTCTAACACTTGCAACTCGCATCAAGAATGCCAAAATCCCCCATTATGGCCACATAATTTTAAATGCAGGTTTCCATGACAACCATGAGATCATAAAGGCACAGTCAACCACACAGCCACAAAAGTCTCCATTCAGGCTTACATTACATCATGATGGCTGTGTAGTAGACTACAAATGTTATTTGGAAGTGCAAGCAAGAAGTCATTACCAAATTCACCTCTTCAACTCCATCTTGATTGGTGTGTTCTTGGTAGGCATTCAACCTCGAGCCTCTGTTCAGTAATGGGTCCAGACACAATAGGAATAACATGTAGAGGAACAGGATTGACACTATACATATGATTATTATCACAATCACCTACAAAAACAGAAGAAATTCCAAAATTAGAAAATTATATGCAATTAACTTGTACTGTACATGGTATATTAATGCCCTAAGGTGTTTTTTATCAAGAGAATAAAGCATGCTATACTTGTTACCAACTTTCCCCTTCTAATGTTCTTGATAATCTTTACATATTTCTATGAATTTGTAAATGTATTAATTTGGCTATATTACAAAATATCGTAATCGCAACAGGAATGTTATTACTTTTTGCAAAAGTTATGAATATTGCCAAAAAATACAGAATTAATTTTGACATTAAGATACTAAATACTCTTCAATAATTTCTCCTTTTTTATTTCTGAAAGATTCACAATCAACTGAAGTTGTAGAAATAGCACTTCTGAGCTGAAAATATGATAACAGCATTGGACTAGATTTGACATGTTGTTGTGATTACCTTTATGGTGGTAGTATTTCTGCGTTGCCATTTACACTGACACCTTGGGCAGAATTCATTCACTTTCAGTGGCAGTGGGACTACAACATTTTCACATTTACTGCAAAGTGTACATAAAACAATAATTATACATTGGACATGTACATTTTAAATATATAATTATCACTTATAATTTATGCAAATATATTGCATTTCTATCAAAGCACTAAGCACTATTTTTATTCTTTCAATCATACAGTAAAGTTAGGTCCACCATCTTGGATTGCTGTTGATAGTGAATTAAAAGATTGTACCCACTTGAAAACTCATTGCATCTGCCTGTAATTTAGAAGAGATCTTTTGTGAGATTTTGCATTGTTTGACCAACTTTGAGTAGACCTGTGAGAGTTTGATTTATATTTCGAGACTATGGAATGAAATCCTGTGGATTTGCCATTGAGAACATACCAGTCAACAGGCTCTGTTATATTTTTAGTATATACTTTTCTTCCTGTTGTTTCTGTTCCATTCACTATGTCCTGAGGTGGGCAGACACATTTACACCTGATGTCATCATATTGAGCCTACAATAAGTATTCAATATAACAAGACTTACAATAAACATTAAATTTGAGCTGGGTAGCATATCTGTAAATATATACAACTCATCAGACTATAGTCTGCATATGGTCGAGTTAGGATTTTATTGAGGTTATGGAAAGCACCCAATGAGAGATATTTATAAAGAGGATGCATCGAATTACAAAATCGATCACATTTACATTATATTTATTATGCAATATATGCAATTAATGACAGTTTATGGAGACATATTTAAATAGATCAAGGTCAGCACCATCTATCATGTATGTTATAAATACTTCGCCCTGTCCGCTAATAAAAATCTAAACAACGAATTTAGAAAATAAACAGGAAGTGTTAAAATTCAATATTACTGTCAATGGGGTCAGGGCAATCTGCGCGAGGTTAGATTTTTACTTGATTCAGTTTTTCCCAATATGCGCCAAAATTAAAGTACTTCATTCCCTAGTCCAACAACATTAGACCTAGCCCGGGCCTCGTTTCTTATCTGACATGTGTTATGGCCCGGCTAGGTCTAACCTCCATGACCATTTTGCCTTTGATGCGTTAATTTAATCGTTCAGCAGGTTTCGACAAGCGGAACAAATTAAACCCTGAAAACATGGCAATATTACACAAAGAATGTGATTCAAACATGCATACATACCTTATAAACACATACACCCCGTCCCGTATCCCCCTTAGACCCTATTGATGCATAATTACGAAAATATTGGAGACAGGTTTGGAATATGACGAAAATGTTGGTCAGTTTCGGTAACATCGAAATTGCAAATCGTTTCAGGAATTAACCGTCATCACGGCACTGCATTAACGAACAGTGGGTTTGCAATTAATAACTATTTTGCGTGTATACACGCGCTATATAAATTAATCAAAGATACCTGTTATCCTCAAAATTGATCTTTTTATCCCGAGTAATCGCGATAATCTTAATTATCAATCTATTTGACAACAATTTCGTTTCGCTGGTAGTTTAATTTTACGATCCGGGACACTCAGACGAACAGACACAATGAAGGACATGCAGAAATGTCACTTTAGAGATTGGTAAGTGTAGCCTCATTTTACTCGTATAAATGAACATTTAACACAAAAATATTGTGTTAAATCGCTTGATGTTATGTGTTTTTATATTATTGTCAAGTATCAGTTGCACGTTATCGCGGAAAAATGGTTTCGATGGATTCAGAACTTGCATCAAAGGAAAGAATAGTAAGGAGGTTAAACTCAATAACGGCCCCAAGAAAATTCCTAATAATAAAGAACGCCGTTATTGAGTTTAACGACGTTGAACTATTCATTCCCATGATTCAAATTGCTTTTCTTTATTTTGTTTTAGTTTATATATCAAACGAAAGCTTATAGCCAAAGAATAGAAAATGTACGTTGGAGTTATTTATTTTTACAATAAAGGAAAATATTTCCGCAATATAAGGTGTATTATGGAACCTTGCGCAGATTGCCCCTGGTGGCTCAATGTCTGTACAGTGTCTTCAAGGTAAAGAAGAAAAAAGAAAGTTACATCTGATAATAAGAACAATTACTAGATATAGTATCCCTATGACTCCTAAATGAGTAGTGTTTATAAATAGTGGACATCACATGACTGATCATTTGATTTTGTAATGTTGTTCTTATTTTTGTAATTGATTTTTGAAAATGTACTCACATTCGCAGTCGAAAATAGAATGACTAGAACACCAAATCCTAAAACAAACTTGATCATGTTGAGCCTTGGGTGTTAGTGTACCATTATAATAGTATCATACTGCTGTAGATCTCACATATCAGGGTGAAAATACAGAGAAATTAACTTGTCAAAAATATTCCTCCTCTAATTGATGTCGCAAACCAGTACTTTTAATGTCGTACTATGTCGTAAACCCGGAAGTAATGAGGATACTTTACGATAAGAAAAATGTGAGTATTTTTCAAATTGCACCTATATCTACTGATATCTCCTAGTTTTAGACAGATATTGGCATAAATTGCATGCTATGTTTTAGAGAGATACTCGAAGAACCCCTATGGCAAATCTTGCGGCTATGTTCCTTATAATAAGGGAGTATGCAGCATTTCAATTTGTGAATGGAATCAAGAATTCATGAAAATATTGAAATAAACTAATTGACCATGAAAAACACACTCTTACTTATGTTTAGGGGACAATTTCGGTTTAGTTTTATTAGCGTTATATATAATACATGTGAACATCTTACCTCTTTCTGTCTGATCTGTATAAAACAGCCTTTGCTTACAGTCACAACCCATCAGCCGCCGCTAGATAATTGCAACAGCTGGAACTAAAATACTGAAATCAGCTGCTTACTTTATTATCTCCAAATGTTCCCTACATCTCTATCCTCCATTTCCGAAAGTCTGTATTATCAGTTGCTTCTGTGTCGATCAGGACTCATCTTTATCCCCATTTTAGTTTCTTGGCAGAAAATTTCCACTAGACAGATTAAAAAATGTCTCTATCAGCACAGAGGTAGCTGATAACTTCAATAGTTTCACAAACAAAGACCAGTTATATGCGAAACATTTAGGGATATAAAGTAAGCAGCTGATTTCAGTGTCAGCCATTACGATTATCTAGCGGCTGATGAGGTATGAGCAAAGGCTGTTCTCTCTAATACAGAGCAGACAGATTTTGAAAGGGGTAACATAAAATCACTCAAGTCTGCCTGAAACTGAGAGGCATAAGAATATCAGAATTACAATAATAAAATAATCTTGGATACTGGAACTCAAACATTTTAGAAAGTCTATAAGGGGTTTCACTAGAATTTCTCACATCAGGCTAAATAAATGAAAACAACATGCAAAATTAATAGATATCATAAATTTAACATGGAAAAATTGAAAAGTCTCTAAAACAACAGGTGATTTTGTAAAAACAACAGATTGCTCCTAATGAAACCCCTGAAGATAGATTAAACTTTCAAATACGTGTTTGCTCACATATTTTCAGCAGCTAGCTATGGCCGGTGATATACAGACAGAAAGAACTATAGATACTATCAGGGGTCACATTGATGCAATCTCAAGCTTCCTACAATGTTACATCCCACTTGCTAACACACACACCACTGACTTCATCATTAACAAAACATGGGATAAGATGGTGCCTGTTAACATTGCAGATGAATTACTTAGCATTAGTTCTACTGCCTTTATTGAGCTCTTATGTGATTGTGGGACTGAAACTTCCTCATCACCTATAGCACCATTTACAAAGCCTGCAGAGGAGTGTATCAGAGGTACTTATACACAATTCCATTTTCAGGTTTTGCTATGGGTGTATAGATTTTTTCCAGCAGAGGCTATTGGTCAAAAATTAATGTAAAGGCTTAGACACTGTGCTGGAGTATGTGATTTGAGATCAATCAAGATAATGAATTAGTCAATTTGGGTAGAAGCATCACATTAAATGGCTTATAACAGTATAAGCAAAGCTTATGTTCTATTTATAATGTCTTAATAAGAAATATCGCTTATTCAGATGATCACATGAAGGCAAAAATAAACAAAAGCACATGCCATTGTTGTTTTGCATTGATAAATCTCAATATAACCATTTTTGTTCCAGATTCAGTTGCCAGGAAGCTTAGCAAAAATGAACAACCAAAATGGGTCCATAGCAACCTAAAGTCATTTCTGCAAACCCTGCAAGGTTTAACTCTCCCTCGTCTCAATGTACTGACAGACATTGAGGAGCTCACTGAATATTTAGCTGAAGATCAGAAACAGGATATTTTCATTAGGAACTTTATGTCAGCGAAGAAAAGTCATGAAGTTGAACTGATGGCCAATCTCTGTTCATTACTGGCATCACATGTTGGCACTGATAAGGTAAGATTTCAGGGAGGGTGGAGAGGAGATCAATTGGGAATCAAAGCTCCACTTATTTTTGTGGGCTATTTTATTAGAGTGCCAATAATTCTTAACAAGTTTAGATGTAGTGCACACTTGCTCATTTGCACAAAACGATGACAATATAGCACTTGGGATTGTACCTGTGATATTTGGTGATCCCTAGCAGGTCGTTCAATTTTTGCTCTTTTGTATCTTTACTTTACATTTACAATACATTGAATATCTACTTCATTAGTTACAGTGTTAAATAATGCAGGGATTTCACTGAGCTCCATTACATGCACTATGAGAGTATTATAACCCCCTCACCCTCTGATTTTTCATACAACTACATTTATGGGTATTTTCAGGTTATTGACATTGGCAGTGGAAAAGGCTACCTCAGTGCTCAGCTTTCCCTGATGTACAATCTCCATGTTCTTGGTATAGACTCCTCTACAGGCAACACACATGGTGCAAATGATAGGGCAGGGAAATTATCTAAATACTGGAATGGACTAGTGAGAAATGCAACAGAGGATGCAACACTAAATGGCAAACCGGTAAAGCGTGGAAAGAAATATAAGAAGCGATTAAAAAAACAAAGGGAATTTGATGCCACAGTGGATAAAGCAGGCCAGACAGATGACTTTGATATCACAAATAAAATTAATACATCTTGTGCAATAACTGATGAGAGTAACAAACCTTTGAGAACTGAAAATTATTTACTTGAACATCAAACTGATGTACAAGATCAAGGGGAAAGTATGGCACAAAGCTATAAAGATAAACCAGATAAATCCCATAAGGAAGTGTATGATAAAGCCAAAACTAATATTGCTAGAGCAAAGGAGAACAGAACTACATTTATACCTCTCACTATGTGGATAGATACTGACACTGATTTAGAACAGTTGGTTATGGATCACCTCAGTACTAAAGAGGATAACTCTACAGCTATACAATCTGGTAGCCCTCACTTCAAAAATGATAATGCATTTGATGATATTTCTAACTGTGTTTCCCCTAATGTTAAAACTGCCAGCAGTGCTGCCAATGATGACATTCCACATGCTGCCAGTGATGATTTACATGCTTACACTAATAGTATGCCACACTCTACCAGTATTGATATACCCCATGCTGCCGATAATGATATACCTCTAGTTGCAATTAATGGTTTCCCACTCACAGCCATTAATAGTGTTCAACACGCTCCTACAAAAACTGCCTCCAATGCTTCTTTATCCTACCATATCCCACAGTCTTCCATTAATGATATCCAACACGCTGCCACCGATGTAGCGCTAACTGGACTACATACATGCGGTAACCTAGCAACAAGCATGTTGAAGCTGTTTGTGGCCAATCAGAGCGCACGGACTGTCTGCAATGTAGGATGTTGTTACCATCATTTAGATGAGCAGTTTGTTATCAGCCCATTTAGTAAAGATGGTAAGAATCGTAAGAATGTTTCATTTATTCAAGTTATTTTGCGATTTATTTAGGATATACAGTAGAACCTGTCTAATTTGAATGCCATTAGGGCCAGCCAAAATGTTTTGATTAGCAAATGTTCACATTTCAAGCTTTCTTGATGAGTCAAAGGACTGAGAAAAAGTGTTCATATTAAAATGTGGTCTGATTAGAGAGGTTTTCAAATATAGAGGTTTTACTTGATTTAGAAAAAAGTATAGAGATGAAGTGACTTTTGAACATGTTTAAGAGATTAAAAATGATATAAAGTAAGTTGAATATAAACAACAACAAAATATCTTAACATTGGTATTTGTCAATGTATAATCTCATAGTCTTGCTTCAAGACCCCCCCCCCTTACTTCAACAAATGTTGTTGCTTGAAGAAGATAAATGGATCCAGGGCCTTGAAGCAAGACTATTATGTAATATCATGAGCTAAATGACTTGAGGCTCCATTACAGGTGAGACACACGACCCTTCTAAAGCTGGCTTTCCAATGAGTGCCTTTCTACGGGAACAATGTATTAGACTGGGAAGAAATGCAAGGATGACTGCATGTCAAGCCATTGATAGAATCTCAGCAGAACAAAAGGTAAATAAGTAAACACAGGTGACAAAAGGGAGAGACAAAAGAGCATTACCCAGAAAGAAAAGAAACAGCTAGTATAACTGGTCATAGGGCAAAACAGACAAAATCCCAAACTATGATACATGTAACAAAGAAACAGTGTCTTACATCCCCCTCAGTTGTTTGACATGCTGTAAAAGGCTTTGTATAAAAAACCTCCTACCTCATACGTACCTACGTGGAACATGATACAGTCATTGAAGGGTTCAATTTGAAAGATTATTAAATATCAAAATAGCTCAAATTATTAACATTTCTACAATTCCGGTTTTATTTTATGACTTTTGACAAACATACTTTGGTGTTACTGTATGCACTTGTCCCATCATCAGCAATGTGCCTGGTTTCATTGTTATTTCGGGTCTTTCAACATTGTATAACTCTACCAGGTGACCCCACCAAAGTGGTGTGGGACAAGTGTGTGCTTCTCAAGCTAAATACTTCTATTAGTAATGTTTAATTGTTTTCCAGTCATCTGCTCTTTTGATCCAGAGCCATTTTGATGCTTTCTCTGCTATTCTTGTAATACTTCCAATTGCTTGCTTCCTTGTATTGCCATTTATTCCTAATAGTCCTAATGTTCTCCAGAGGGATTGTCCTGCAAACCCTCGACAGCCAACCTCTACCGGTTCACATCTGGCTGTATATCCCTTGTTCCTACACTGCTCCACTAATTCTGCATATTTTTCTCGCTTCCTTTCTTGAGCTTCCTGTATGTTTTCCTCCCATGGCACTGTTAGTTCTATTAGCACTATATGCTTTGATGAATTTGACCACAACACTATGTCTGGCCTTAGTGAGGTTTCCACTACTTCCTCCGGGAATTTTAGCTGTTTCTCTAGGTCCACCATGAGGGTCCAGTCATTTGCTGTGTGTAGAATTCCAGTAGGTTTCCTTACTTCCTTTGTTATGCCTTCTCCTGCTTTGATGAAGTTGATATATTGGGTTCCTAGTTTCTTGTGTTTTTTCCTCCTCTCTGTCTCAATGACCTGTGCTAACTCCTTCAGGACTTGGTCATGTCTCCACCTGAACCTTCCATCTGCTAATCCTTTCCTACAGGCTGACATGATGTGTTTTAGGTTTGATACTGCCCCGCATAATGGGCACTCTGCTGTCTCTGCTAGCCCCATAGTGACTAGATTGGATGGTGTAGGTAAGACGTCATATGTTGCTTTAAGCAGAAAACTAATAGTTTGTGGCTGCTCCTTCCATAAATCATTCCAAGTTAGTTTCCTTTCTCTAACGCCTTCCCATTTCATCCATTTACCTTGTTTCTTCATCTCAATAGCCTTAACTCTTCGGTCTTCCTCGAGGCTCTCTCTTACTTCTAGCTGGATCAGATCTCTGTTTTCACGGTCTGTTGCTTCATTCCATAGTGGTTTTGAGCCAAATCCTAAGCCCTGTCTTCCTTTGGCTACCCGCCCTACTAAAACTTTTTGCTTGAGCCTGTCCTCTGCTCTTGTTAGCTCCTCTTCAGCATTCCACTTCCATCCTGTTTTCTCATGGGTGCTGCTCTTTGAAATCTTGGTGTCTTTGGCATTCCTTATCATCACAATCTTCCTGACTTTGGTTACCTTGTATTCTTCTGTCATTGATTTGATCGGTAGGTGAAGCATGTTTGATTCTCCATAAAATCCTGAGCTGCTGAAGCTTTTTGGTACTCCGAACCACTTCCGTAGGTATTTGTTTGTTTTCCTCTCTAACATCTCCACTGTTGTCATTGGCACTGCATACACGAGAAGTGGCCATAATATTCGAGGTAGTATTCCATGCTGGTATATCCATGCCTTGTATTTTCCCGGTAGCCCTGATTTATCTACCAGTTTGAACCAGGTATCTAATTGGTCCTCCATTTCCCTTATGCTCTTCCTGTCTGAAAGTGATGCATCAAACACTTTCCCTAAGCTTTTCACTGGTTTTTCTGTAACTGTTAATATATCCTGTCCATCTATGTTGAACTTGAATTTTCCATCTACCTTCCCTTTCTTCAGTACTAGGCTGCGTGATTTCACTGGCTTGAATTTCATCCTGCCCCACTTGATAATCTTTTCTAGTCCTTTGAGTATCCATCTTGCTCCCATGACTCCCCTGGTTGTTACTGTTAAGTCATCCATGAATGCTCTGATGGGTGGCTGTCTAGTACCAGAGCTTGTTGTTGGCCCTCTGCATTCCTGTTCTGCTGATTTTGCCAGTAGGTTCATTGCTGCTGCAAACAATATAACAGAAAGTGTACATCCAGTCACTATTCCTACTTCTAACTTGATCCAATTTGTAGTAAACTGCTTTGTAGAAAATCTCATCTTGAAGTTGTCATAATAATCTAAGATCATCTTCTGTATCTTCTTTGGAATGTAGTAACTCATCATTGTGAACTCTACTAACTTGTGGGGTAAGGAACCATAAGCATTTGCTAGGTCCAACCACAGCACTGTTAAGTCACCTTTACTTTCTCTTGACTCCTTGATAAGTTGTGTCACCATAGCTGTGTGCTCTATACATCCCGACATTCCTGGGATTCCTCCTTTTTGTACTGATAGATCAAGGTATTCATTTTCTATCAGAAACGAAGTCATACGTCTGGCCACAACGGCCATGAATATTTTTCCCTCCACACTGAGAAGAGAAATGGTCCTAAATTGACCTACAGCTTCCGATTCATCTTCCTTGGGAATAAAACATCCTTCTGCTGTTTTCCATTGTGGGGCTGTATAGCCTTTCCTCCAAACTGCTTTCAACAACTTCCATAATCGTGTTAATAACTTTGGACATCGCTTGTATATCTTATATGGTATTCCACTTGGCCCTGGAGCAGATGAGGCCCTAGCATGATACACGATATCTTTAATTTCTTTGAAAGTTGGCTCCTTCAGATTAAATTCCTTAGTTGGGGGTGGGTATTCTAGTATCAAGTCACACTCCCCTAATTCCTCGTTTCTCCTGATATCCTTATGGGTCATGGTTAAGTGGTTTTCTACTTCTTCTTTAGAGCTTCTAAGGGTACCATTCTTCTTCTGGCCTAGTAGTTCCTTGACAAATCCAAAAGGGTCCTTTGTAAAAGATGCTCTTCTCTTCGAGCGTTCTCTTCTACGTCTCCTGTGATATTCTGCTCTTCTTAATGTTTTGAGTTTACATCTGGCTATCTCTCAGTTCGCTAAGTGCGTTTCTCTCTACAGGTCCAGCATGTTTGTACCTTTTCTTCAGATCTCTTAGTTGCTTTCTCACCTCTTTAATATCCTTCTGTCTTCTACTAATGTTAACAGTATGTGATTTTAAATGGCATTTTTCTTCGACTCCAAATCTGTCTGTTGCAATTGAGTATATGATGGTTGTCATGGCTTGTATCTTCTTTTCAACTGGTCCACTTAGAGAAGACTCCAAAATTGATTCTAAGTCTTCATCCAGATTACTCCATTCCTCTTTCTTTGTGGCATTAGGCCATTTAATCCTCTGGAGTCTCTCTTCTTTAGCTTTGGCAGTCTCATTCGTCTTTGGAACTTGGACGTTCCTGGCACTGTGGTTTTTGTCCTGGCCTGGCCCCTCCTTCGTCTTATCAGGTGTCCCTGAGCGCTGTTCCATCTTCGACTGAGACTGGCACCGCGACTTGCCTTGGTGAATTTTAAGTCCTCTGTCGTTTTTGCATTCTTTGCCGCAACTGCATATTCTGCCTCTGTTCAATGTCCTTGTCCTTGGGCGTGCTAAGTCGATATTCTGTATTCCTTCTAGACAGATGACAGATCCATAAATAAAGGCATATGATTGCATTTTAATGTGTAATGACCCGAGAGCGCCCCAGGGGAATAAATAACTTACGACCGCGAGCATAGATCCAACAAGCCAGATAAAGAAATTGATAGAAAGTGTTCTAAATTCGATGCCCCTTGTGCGAATCGAACCCAGCTGGGATGTAGTAGCAACTTGCTATCAAGGGTTATTACAAATGCATCTATATTTCATCATAAACTAAGATTTAATAAACTAAGATCTTTAAAATCGAACCCTTCAAAGACTGTATCATGTCCCACGTACGTGGGTAGGTGGGTATGAGGTAGGAGGTTTTTTATACAAAGCCTGCTGTAAAAGATTGTGTACAACTACATACAGTTTGGAATTCTATTCCTGTTGTTACCTTGGTCCTAGTTCATTAGAAGATAGAATAGTGGGGAAGTCTAGATGTATCTGAGAAGAGAATTGACCCGACATTGTCAACCAAAACTGCAGGTTTTCAAAATAATAGAAAAAATCTTAAAGTTGACATCATAAATCTAGCCAATATACAGTGTCCTTGGTATGCAAAAGGGTGCTATGATTTTTTTATTTATAGTTTTTTTATTTCACAAATTAACATTACTACAATCTCATTTTGGCTGGTCTCAAATGAGCACAATTAGCCAAGTCAGGATATATTGGAAAGGTCTATTTGCATCAATCATATTCTTGCAGACTCCACAGAAGTCCTTATTCTGGAGAGCACTACTGCAAGTGATTCTTAGCGACCTAACAGCTGAGAAACGAGATGATTGGCATGTTGGGAAAGTTGCCTCCAAGTGCAGTGATTTCTCAGAATATGTTATTAAATCCTGTAAAAAGCTGGGAATTGACTCAACAAAGGTAAAGTATGAGGACAGGCCTCCTCGACTTAAACTCATGTGGTTCACAATGTTGAAACTCAATGCGCGAGTAGAGAAATAATTTCGGGAGAGAGGAACATTCTGGTGGTTCATGACTGAAGAATCAATATTCATGGTGTGAGATAGGTGTAGGTGTGAGAATGTGGTTCGGGTGGAAGGAATAAAGTCAGCGACGTTGGGACTGAGTCAGGGTTTAGGAGGCCTGGAGGAGCACAGTTACACTTTGAATAACATGACTGACAATATTTTAAAAACTCCTTTGATCAAGAATTATTCATTTTTACTATTTCTAAATTCAAAGAAACTGTGCTTTGAGAAAATGGGCTAACAAGGTTCATAAGGGAAAGATCAGGAACTGTACTGTATGTATGTAAAGCCCAATCAGTGATATAAGACAGGTTAATTGGCACAATGGGCTAGCTAAAATGTATTTGCAACAGCATCTTGTTTAATTGAACTGTGTGTGCATGAATCTGATGAATGCATTATGGATTTTATATATGTTGAGCTTAAAATGTTGTGCAAAACATCTCTCTGATAAAATCAAGTTCATGCAGTATTGTATCATTCAGCCATATATACAAGTTTCAATATACTCTTTTTTCAGTTAACCCCAACTGCAATAGAAGGCTATGTGAACAAATACAAAGACCAAGAGGCCAAACTGAACTCATTCTTCCTTCTCAAAGCTGCCCTAGGCCCTGTCATAGAGGGATATATACTATTAGATAGACTGCTATATTTGATGGAACACAAAATCAATGTGGTACATTTAGTGCAATTGTTTGACCCGGTCACATCTCCAAGATGCTATGCTATTATTGGAATCAAAGACAAAAGGACATGATAATAAAAATGTGATAATAAATACATGATAGTAAATCATAGTTATATGTATTAAAAACATGATAATAAAAAATGATTATGAATACATGATAATAAAACAAAGTTATATTAAAAATTAAAATTCATGACAAGGAGACCTTAACTATAAATTGATAGCATACCTGGCAAGCTTACAAGTTAATGTGCTTTGTGCATGAATGAAAACATTAACTTGGTCAATTTTTGTAGAGTAATAAAAACTATGAATCAGCCAGTCTGAATTACATGATATAATTATTATCTACTACTGCATATCATGAATCCTGTCAGTCGCACCTGTGTTTTGTATATCCTGAAGCTTTAAAGGATCTACTTTGTCTTCTCACACTATTCTGGCTGATGAAATACTCATTGGCCAGGAAAAATAAACAAACTAGAAAAACAGCAACTCCACGGAGTAGCAAATCCAACCGAACAAAACATGTTTTGATAAAAAAAATTGTGCCAAATTCATCCACTGGTATTTGAATTATCAAAGATTATGTCTTTATGAAACATGGTTGCCATTTTGAAATTCAGCTGTCATCTTTAGATTTCTTCTTTAGCAGAGAATGTCTGTCCAATGATATCTGGGTTATCAAAGGTTATCAAAGATGGCAGCCATTTTGAAATTCAGCTATCGCCTTTGAAAGGACCTTATACACCCTCCATTGGGATCTCCCCATGGGAAAAAAATAATTCATCTGATTTTTCAAAATGAGTATTCTGCTTCAATTATTACATTTATATGCATACTAGTATCTTGTTGACCTATATTCAGCACTGTATTGATGTATAGGCCACTTATTAGGGTCATAATTCAATCATGAAGTGTAGAGGCATAGATTCCAAACCAGGAAGTATTTTTGTGTCTGTCAAAATCCATTTACATCCTACGCATCCCTGCATCATATCCAAATATGTTACTACATAATGAAATATAATAGTATAATCTTTGGTTTTACAAACTTTTATGATATTTGATAAGTGTAAAAGTTGTTTTTGGAGCATTATAGCCATTTTGTAGGGAAAAAAATGATGAAAAAATGTACAATCTTTTAATTTTAAGTATGACCTGAATCGATTGCAAACTTCATATTTGCACATTTGATGAGATAAACCATTTATGTCATATTGTGAAATAATTAAGTTTGCAATTGATTCATAGCGAGATCAATAGTGCAAGAAAACAGGCAAACAGTTCATTCATGGAACGAAGCATGAAACCTTCCACATATCATCAGAATACCATTCCCTTTGATTTAAGAGCCAGAGCCATTTTTGTGGTCCACTAGAATGGTCAAAAAAATAGTAAGAACCCCCTCCCACCAAAGCCCATGGGGGTGGGGAGATAAAGGAATATTTTTTTCATAAAAAAATTTCTTTGAATATGGTCATACTACAGTTTTAGTGTGCTATTTTCATGGTAAAGAAATTTTGCAAACAAAACAAGATGATTTATCATTGATTTCCATCATCATTAAAGACTAATCATGGGCGACGCCCACTTTTCGTACCTTGAACATTTAGGTTATTAAATCTCTATCATGGGTTGAACAAATGAATGCAATTCAGTTTTCTGGATAACACCAGATACCTTTTTGATGCTAGGTGCTATAATTAATCGTAGCATTTGACTTTTTAAAGGCTTACACCATATCACAACCCTGTTTAGAAGAAGAAAGCAAGCAACAAACGTCCCAGATCTACAACATGTATCCACTATTCTATGTACATGTATGTTGAGTCTCTATACTCTCCTGAAGAGAACCTATGCTACAGATACAACTTTCCAGAATTTAGATGATGATGTGCTTAAACAGTTTGATGAATGGTGTGCTGACCCGGTGCCTAAACAGTTTGATGAATGGTGTGCTGACCAACAGAATGTACCAGTACCAGTGAACATTTAGGCTATTAAACCTCTTTCATGGTTTGAACCGGTACCAGAAGGGCCGCCACAGTCACAGCCTGCAGTCTCTAAATTCTCAAGAGAGCCTATACTACATACACAGCTGTCCAGAATCTAGATAATGAAGTGATAAACAGTTTGATAAATGGTGTGCTGACCAACAGAATGTACGAGTCTTTAAGTTTTGGTTTCCGATTATTTGAATTGAAATACTGTGCCTTAACTAAGTGTGGGCTATCAGAGAGGGAAATTTCCCTCTTTATCTCTAGTCAATGAGCAATCTTATCTCCTGGTTTTTTGTTTTTTGACCTTGTCAATATGTTTGCTGAGTACCAGTTCAGTATATCATCAGAACTCAAAGTTAAAAAATGGATAGCTTTTGGAAAAGTAAAAAATTAGAGATATCTCACTTCCCATGAAATTGCAGCTGCCCTTTGACATGGTAGGACTATGTGTCTCCCCTTATTTCATGCCCCAACAGGTTCAGACACTATATCTGGATTCCAATCATTGAACATTTTGTTGAGATTTTATACAATAGAGACAACAATGAGATAACTGTAAATGCTGCAAGACAAGAAATGTTCACAAAGAAAACAACTCAAATTGAGAACATCCCACCATAAGTTGCATAAGTTGGTTCCAGACAATTATACCTATGTCAGTCCTCGCTTCACCCTCACAATTGAGTTGGGAATCCATAACCACAAAGGCTGGGAAAATAATTTGGGTGCCAGTGTGGAAAACATTGCCCAAGCCCCAGATGCATGCCAAATGCTAGTAAAATGCAGCTGCAAACAAAAGTGCTCAACAAAAAGATGCAAGTGCTTTTTTGTCATTCTAGTGAACCACAAAAATGGCTCTGGCTCTTAAATCAAAGGGAATGGTGTCCTGGTGATATCTGAAAAATTGCAAATGCCCCCTCCAATCAAATCCTGGGGGAGGGGAGGGAAGTATTTTTTGTTGATTTTTTTTTAATATGATCTATATTCATTTTTAGTATGTTATTTTCAGTGTATAAAAACAATTTTCAAGATTGCATCCATATTTCTCATGGATATTCATTGTTAAAGCCTGACCAAGGGCGACGGCCACTTTATCAACATGTTAATATACAAGTTAATGAGTCTTCTATTGTGAATAGAAAAATTACCTAATAAGGCTGAATAAAATTGATAAGATTAAGTCAGTTATTTATGTTAAGATGATAATTTCTTTAAGTAAGTCAAGTGAAAGGCCACATCCCTTTTCGATATAAAGATATAATAATATATAATTCATAATTAATGATATATTATTTTGGCTTTTAATGAGAGCACTTTGACTAATTGATACAAGTTACCTTATTAGGTATCTTAACTGCAGTTCAAATATCCTATTTTGTGCATTTAAGCACTTCAACACTCTATTATTATTATCACTGAGCTAGGTGTCATGTCCATTACAATCCTGCATTTTACTAGCGTTTGACTTGCATCTGAAGCTTGGGGCAATGTTTTCTCCACTGGCACCCAAATCATTTTTCCAGCCTTTGCTGGTGCAGTGTCTGAACCTGTGGGAGAATGAAATAAGGGGAGAACATAGTTCTATCATGTCGTATCAAGGGCAGCTGCAATTTCATGGGAAGTGAGGTATTTCTAATTTTTTTTTCCAAAAGCTATCCATTTTTGAACTTTGAGTTCTGATGATATACTGAACTGGTACTCAGCAAGCATATTGACAAAGTCAAAAAACGAAAAACCAGGTGACAAGCTTGCTAATTGACTCAAAGAGGGAAATTTCCCTCTCTAATAGCCTACACTTAGTTAAGGCACAGTATTTGGATTCAAATAATCTGAAACCAAAACTTAAAGACTGGTACATTCTGTTGGTCAGCACACCATTTATCAAACTGTTTATCACTTCATTATCTAGATTCTGGACAGCTGTATATGTAGTATAGGCTCTCTTGAGAATTTAGAGACTGCAGGCTGTGACTGTGGCGGCCCTTCTGGTTCTAGTTCAACCCATGAAAGAGGTTTAATAGCCTAAATGTTCAGCATATGAAAAGTGGGCGTCGCCCATAACTAGTCTTTAACAACTTTGAAAATCAAAGAGAAACCATCTGGAAATAAAGAGGAAAATTCTCCTGTCCTATAGCCCTCACATAGTCAAGGCACAGTATTTCAATTCAAATAATCGGAAACCAAAACTTAAAGACTGGTACATTCTGTTGGTCAGCACACCATTTATCAAACTGTTTATCACTTCATTATCTAGATTCTGGACAGCTGTATATGTAGTATAGGCTCTCTTGAGAATTTAGAGACTGCAGGCTGTGACTGTGGCGGCCCTTCTGGTTCTAGTTCAACCCATGAAAGAGGTTTAATAGCCTAAATGTTCAGCATATGAAAAGTGGGCGTCGCCCATAACTAGTCTTTAACAACTTTGAAAATCAAAGAGAAACCATCTGGAAATAAAGAGGAAAATTCTCCTGTCCTATAGCCCTCACATAGTCAAGGCACAGTATTTCAATTTGAATAAGCAGAAACCAAAGCTTGAAGACTGGTACATTCTGTTGGTCAGCATGGCATTCATCAAACTGTTTAGGCACTTGGTCAGCACACCATTCATCAAACTGTTTTAGCACATCATCATCTAAATTCTGGACAGTTGTGTCTGTAGCATAGGTTCTCTTTAGGAGAGTATAGAGACTCATACATGTACATAGAATAGTGGATACATGTTGTAGATCTGGGACATTTGTTGCTTGCTTTCTTCTTCTAAACAGGGTTGTGATATGATGTAAGCCTTTAAGAAGTCAAATGCAAAGATTAATTATAGCACCTAACATCAAAAAGGTATCTGGTGTCATCCAGAAAACTGAATTACATTCATTTGTTCAACCCATGATAGAGATTTAATAACCTAAATGTTCAAGGTATGAAAAGTGGGCGTCGCCCATGATTAGTCTTTAACAATGATGAAAATCGATGATAAATCATCTTGTTATGTTTGCAAAATTTCTTTACCATGAAAATAGCACTCTAAAACTGTAGTATGACCATATTCAAAGAATTTTTTTTATGAAAAAAATATTCCTATATCTCCCCACCCCCATGGGATTTGGTGGGAGGGGGTACTTACTATTTTTTGATCATTCTAGTGGACCACAAAAATGGCTCTGGCTCTTAAATCAAAGGGAATGGTATTCTGATGGTATGTGGAAAGTTTCACGCTTCGTTCCATGAATGAACTATTTTTGCACTATTGATCTCGCTATCAGGTCATAGTGCATTTTTGGTATTTCTATGATAATCAATGGAAACCAATGGCCTCTATTGGGATCTGCTGATATCCTCATGTTAAGTCAATGGTGCACAGCGCCATGTAAGTCAATACAACCTTACTGAACGAAATGATCCCTATCTCAGCTTATGTGTGTCCGAGCACTTTAATATTTTCCAAAGTATTATATGACATTTTATTCTTCATGTTACACCTACGAATGATTCATTTTGACCATAGGGATATTTGCCAATAATTGCACCTTGTCCTTTCTTCTGAAGCAGATCACCTTTTTCCCTAAACATCAGCATATAAAATTGGAACCAAATCCATCCAACTGTAATTGAGTAATCAAAGATAATGTTTTTAAACAAATTAGCCTAGTGATGTGCCAAACATGTCTGTTATCAGGAATTTATTTTACTTTAATTCTAAGGAAAAAAATGTTTTGTTTTAATTGAAAATATTGAGTAAGAGGCTTTAAAGTAAACAATTAAATGTGATATTTTGGATAAAAAAATTTCACAATGTCAATCTATATAAAGCTCACTAACCAAACCATGAATGTCACTAAACATGCTAAATAGAAATAAAAACGAGAACAAGTTGAAAATGAAAAAGACACAATTTGAGATCATTTTAAGGAAGACAAAATCAGACAAGTTTGAAAATTATGTAAAAATGCTTACACTTTTGATCCTACTTCATGATTTTATTGTGTTTTGAAAATAAAGGGGTCATTTTTGGTACACCCCGTGAATATTTTATTTACTCATGTCTAGTGGATCGATCTTGTTTTGTGTAAAGTATCTACATGTATGTAAAGCAGCGAGTCCTAGAATTAATGTGTTTTCTATTTTTTTAATTCACTTGTTACTTCAGAATTTATTTTGAGCATTTAAACATGAGGATTCTGTTGGTTTGTCAGTACATGCAGTAGAGCATTTATGCTATTAAAAACATAAAAAAAGTTTTCATATGAACGAGCACGAATTACAAATTGTCGTGAGATATGGTATTGCCATGTAACATTAAAATTAATCATTAAGTTTAGAAATATTCTAACATTTAATTGTTTAGTATCCATTTATTTCGAAATATGATGATTGCAAAGCAAGTGGAGTGGCTTTTTAATAACACAGTAATTTTTCTATAAAATCAAAAACTTTTTCAAATACTTTGGAAAAATAGAAAGTAATGACAGTTTAGTTGTTTTAGTTTTAATGATAAAGGCCATAATACAACTAACTCGAACATAAGTAAAATAATTTTCAGAGTATCAAATTCACATTTTGTTGAAAGTTATACTGACCCTCTTCCTAGAAAACAATATGGATGCAATGCTTTTATAATTTATATTTACATCTTTACATTGCATCTTGCAATACATCAGTTGACTGACAGGCCATAGAGCGTATTTGCATAATGGTGGTACAACATAAGCTGCATATAAAAAATTAGAATAATACAATCATTTATTATGTATCTATACTACCTCCCTGTTGTGTTATCTCATACCTTTTATGTTATGTAGTACATGTTATCTACTTATGATGTAAATGAGTTTCAAAAGTAGAAGTAAGCAATCAATTCTTGACTAGCTGATAAAAATAATTATTCACATCAGTATCTCATCATGCATATGCGTTATCCATTTGTCACTCATTGGATGTCTATGCATATACATCAAACAATACAGAATGCAATACAGAATATGATTGTATAGTGCCACACAATAGATTAGTCATACAAATTTATGTAGAATATTATATTGAGATTAATAGAGCAAAAAATCAATGTTAAAAAATAAAAAGTCAGTCAGGTGGAAACTTTCTAGGTGACATATCAAATAATAAAAATTGATTACATGCAATAACTCTTGTAAAATGATCTTATATTGAAATGTTTTTACATGCATGTCCAAAGGTCATGAACGTAGACCTTAACATTGACTTTACAAACCAACCAAGTGGAACATTTTGATACATTATACCTTTCAAATATATTACTAAAAATGATAAATACTTCATGATGTTATTACCAGAAATGGTGACATATTGTTATAGTCTTCAGCTTCCTTGTGGATAGTGGTTGGTGTTCATCGTCTATAAAAATGGTGTTTGTAACAAATGGCAGGTTGTGACATTTTGCATATTAATACCTTGTTTGAGTTTGTAATTCTTCAGTGCATAAATTACACAGGCTCTAAAAATCTAAATCTGATATTGTTTGGAAGCCCCCCCCCCCCCCGATCCCCAGATACACTCCATTGGCCTCATAAAAATACCATACTTGGGTCATTTGGGAAAGTATGTTCAATAAAACTTTGACATTTAGCAAGAATAATATTGTTCACAATAAAAACTGATAAACAATTTTACTTTAATTCTAAGGAAAAAATTAGAAGTTACTCTATACTATTGCAGAGGGGAGAAGATCAAAGATAATGTGGGGTTAATTTGGCCATAATTTTTTTCTTTTGCCTAACACATGACACATTTAGGTCATGACCTGTGATAAAATACAAATTTTAACAGAATTATAGCATGATTCATTTCATACATACACCTTTGAAATATAGGTAGAATCAAATATTTAATTTCAATATTAAACAAACAACCTACAAAGGACATACTGACATAGGATTGATGGGGGAATTTACTTAAGTGGGTAGTAGAAAGAGTAGTTGCTTTGAAATTTAACAAGGTATTAATATGCAAAATGTCCCCACCTGTCATTTGTTACAGATGCTCAACACCAACACTGAATACTGAACACCAACCATTAAATGCCAAACACCATCCACAAAAAAAGTTGGAGACCATAACATTATATCACCACTTGTGGTGGTGACAAAAAATCTGCTATTTTGTAAAAGGCATATTAGTACTGTATAAATGTGTATCTGTTCAAGAGGCTATAAATTATTAAATTGTCACATTTTTAAGATAAGTTCTGCTCACTATCTTATATATTTTTTCTAAAAAGTCCAAATGTTATTTCATGATGATTATGAAAAGTGGATATACACATATATGATTCTATCGGATTTGACATATATAGTGGTAGCATGAGTTTTGATTGGGTATTTCAAACTTTTTAATGTATTTTTTTGGAGGGAGGGAGCTTTGTAAGGACCACATTACCATGTTTATTTTCCTTATATTTCACACCTTTGGTGTAGTATCACCTGCTAATCTAAATAGGCAATACCTTAAACTTTGATTTAAAAATAATTCCATTTACTATTGTTTGCGTATTAAGCTTGAATTCTAGCATGCAATTTCTATTTGGATAAAAATATTAACAAGGCATTAACATGACAAAATGTAATCACCTTGTAAGTTATTGCAAATGTCAATGTGACTGTGCATTCTTTAGTTTCTGTCATTCAGTATGTAAGAAGTGTTTTAAGTGTATAATATATTCATGGCCATGGTAACTGAAACTGTCAAAAAGTCGTGTTAAAATTTGTTACAGACACCGAACGCTGAAAAACCACCCACAAGAAAGACAATAACAAATATGAAATCACTTCTGTTGGTCTCCTAAAAATTTCAAAATGTCTCCTTGCTTATGATAGACTTTACCTTAACAGTTTAAATGAGGAATTGAAGCTAGTCATGTGAAAATGTGCATTAAACACACAAACTGAATTCTATTCAAATACAACTGGCCTATTTAAATGGCATCTAAATAAAGGCAAAGAAAAAAGTATTAAAACACAATATCAGATAAAAGAGGACAGTTTTTCATAGCACAATATGCTGTGGCTCACTCGTGAATTATTTATTCATTTATCTTTCTTACTGTAATTAAAACATGACGGCAGATACACAGTAAAGTATCAACAATATTAAAGCTAACGATCTATCTTCTAAGATTGTTCGAGTCTCCTGATGCGAATCGCAGTTTAATAACTAAGGGTTTTACATGAATAAACTCCTTATAAAACATAGGAGTAGCCTATTGAAAAGTGAAAATAAAAAACGTATGGACCAAATAAATAGCTTAAGAATAAGTAGAAATAATGTGGAAAAGTAATACATGTATGGATAAACAGTAATAACCCATGGACGAAAAATAATAACTTAGGATGACTTAGTATTAACCTTGTGGACATTATGGTGCTGTCAGTTGAAAAGCTACATGTACTTTGCAGGAGGATTTTCACCTAGGGTGTTAAAATATTAGAGTGTTTAATCTGTTTTATGACTAATGAACATATCTCAGTTGGTTTTAGTTTGTGGTGGTTATCATGCAAATAAGCTATTGAGGCAAAAGAGTCAATGCAAAGAAATCACTGTTATAGTTATAGAGTATATTACTCAAGGGGAGGAGGTCAATACCTATGGCTAGATGAAAAAACAAACATTCTTGGAAAGAACAAGAGTGTGTGATCGTGATTTACAACATATCAGATCACAAAAACTAGGACATGAAAGCCTGAAAGCAGCATCTATGAAAAACATACCAAGATTTTGTCAATCGATTTATCTAATTTATACAAGACGATACAAAGACATAGATTTATCAAAATGATCTTGACATAAGAAAAAAGAGAGGATTACTAGAATACAGGTGCAAATAAACATCATTGAATATTCACATTAATCATACATTATACAAGGGTTTTATCTACGAATACAGAAGTTATTAATATAGCCTGATTGATAGATACAACTATACGTAAGCAATAATAGGATCAAGCAATAAGGAGGATGGCGATAAATAAACGTAAGTAAATACTTTACTTTCATAACATATTAGCATATCAATTGTTTATGTTATTTAGAATTAATGCTTAATAATAAGTCAATATAATCAGTTCTACCATTTTGAGATATTTCAGTTAATAAATGGTAAAAAGCAGTCATTTCCAACTTTCTTCAAATAGACTCAATTGACCTCGGGTTGACCTTCAGTGACCTTTGAAAGGTAAAGATTTTTGATTTTCAAAAATGATTATATGAATTTAAAGGTTGGTTAACTGGGTCACAGAGGGCATATATAGGTCGTATAAGGTAGACTTTTGAAGGTCAATTTTATCAATGAAGTCAGTCAAGAAAGAAATTGTATAAGTTTCTCAAAATTATGAAGCTTGAAAAATACATTCCCTTTAATATAGTTTGAATCCTCCAGTAAATCACTATTTGCCAAAAATTTGGGGATATTTGATTTCGATAATTAGTAAAATGGCTAATTTTCAGCTGCAAACTCCCAGGAAATCAGATCTGACCTCTATTTCGACCTTTGGTGACCTTCAACTGTCTTAAGATTCAGTATCTCTTTCATAACTATCTACTAGCTACCAGAAGTCTTTATATTTCAGTTTTGACCTTTCATTGACCTCAAATGACCTCTTAAATGGGCTGTCTCAAAATTGGCAATTACCTATTTTTGACGTTTAGTTGACAGAATATTCTGATTTTGAACTATGTTCATGAATTTCAAAATACTTTGATCTTAACCTTACATTGCACACAGTAAAAGTTCCCTATTTATTCTCTTTCAGGTGTGTGCAGACTTTCATGTTATACAATATTGATACTAATGTTATTATGGAGCTTCTTCTATGCTGGTTCAGTCATACAGTGGACCCCAACCAAGCAACCAAAAGTAACCCAGCCACAAACATATAACACCCCTAACATCCATCACCTATTTGCAAACAAAAGTGCATCAGATATCATTCAGAGCTACTTCATTAACAAGCTACTGAAGGACAGTGATCAAAGTAAAATGTCCGCAGCTAATAAACTTCTAAAGCAATTATTTGAACTGGTGTCTGAGAATAACAATGGTACAGATGTTGATATTACAGATGACCTGGTTCATATACAAGGCACTGGACAGCTGCTTGATAAACAGCATGCAGAATCTGACAAGGCCGGTGAAGCTATAGATACTCTTCAAGCTGATGTTAAGGATCATAAGAATGAAAAGGCAACCAAGATCAGGGTCGGTATCATTGTCTATATGCCCTATAGAAGTGATCAGCTTTATGAAATGGAATTCTTATCATATATGCACCCATCATGGAAGTATGTCACTACTCATAAGACTCTCAAACAATTTATCACGCTACCCGAAGCATCAAACGTCCCTGATATGACCCTTGACCTAATAACCTATTGCCATCCAAAGTCGTGCTGCACTGCACAGAAAGCCAACTGCAAACTTTGGACTAAGGTCACACTTGATACTGACCAATCAGATTGCTACTACCATCCAGATGATGGCTTCCCTGAAGCTGCTGAATACCACTACTATAACACGTTTGCATTTCTACGTGATGACAATTTCATGAGTCGAGCTAAGAAGTATGATTGGTTGATCCGGTCAGATCTTGATGTATTCATTGGGCCTGCTGTTCTGGGATGGCTTCCTAAATATGAATTTATGTCAGGGGGTGGGGGGTATGCATCAGAGTTCAACCGTAAACGTATTCCTGAAGTCGCTGCACGTTTAAATTTAACGCATCATGGCATAACTAACGTGGGGAGCACCTGGTATGGAAAGCCAGATATATTCATGAAGATTAGCCAACTAACATTAAAATACACTAAACATTTCTACAAAAATGAGTTTAACAAAACCTTAGATGGAATACAGCATATCATGAACAAATCATCAGTTGGCGAATGGCCTACCTGGTGGAGACCTGTTTCGTTACTTTATGGCGGAGAAGTTGCAATAAATCACGCTGTCCCCGACTTTGACATATCCCGTATAGCGGACAAAAAATTAGATTACCCTAGCAGCAGTAAATTAAACATCCTCTCTTACCCACATCTCCATTGTTGGCATGGAGACGAAGAATTCCAAAAATTTAGATTCACAACTAAGTTACGTGCACTTATTAATGGTGGAACAGACAATAGGACGACGATTTATAAGAGCGACCAAGATGTAAAAAATATGACAGTGCGGGATTATTGTACATTTATTGCGTGGAATGCAGTGGCAAATAATAACATTATTGAGCACTTACAGAAACCAGCTGATCACTGCTCTTAAAAATTGTATTTTTAATTGGAGGAAAATGTTAAATTTTTAAATGGAGCCAAATGACTTGATTCAGTTTTTATATTGTAAATTTGTTAATATTTTTCTGCATGGATACATATGCATGTATGTAGGATAACATTAGATTATACCAATTTAGTTCAAGAACAAATAGACATCTTTTTATAAATCAAGACCTACTCAATCTTTTGCATCATAATTAAGCCATAAAATGTACAAAGGTTCACGTAGGTTATCGCAAACAATTTCAGACAGTTATATCTTGGATTAAGACTATTTTCTGACTATGAAGACAGGTATATCTTTTAGACCCATTCACTATCTCAAAGAAAATTATATACAATAATAATAAAGTCAAACGGACTTGGAATATTTAACTAGTAATCAACCCATCAACACACTTTTTCAAAGATTTTGACCGCAAAAATGCAACCATTTTTTACAATGTTTAATACATTACTATTCTTTATTTTGATGTATCAAATAGTTCTTGAAAGAAAAAAAACTGAACTGTTTCCCATGTTATTTCTCCATTGAAGTCTCATGCTATCCATTGGTTTCAGTTCATTTTGGTCATCCAAATTCAGTATCTTTAAAGTCCCTGGAGCAATCAACTTTTCCTTTTAGGAAATAGAACATGTCTCAAAACACATTCTAATTATGCATTCAACAATATAATGAAAGGTAGCAATTTTGGTGAAAATTAGGTCAAAATTTTTGAAAAAGTATGTTGACTGGTCCAGTGCCCCTTTAATATCACTTAGATCTGATTAACTAAATCATCATTATATCAACTTTTCTTGTAGATGACAGATGGGATAAATAATACAACCATGTTCATGATCAGAAAATATTCAATATTCAAGTTAGCATTGTCTGAAATTGTTTGCCATAACCTACATGCTCCTTTAAGTTAACACATGGAACTTTTGTCAAATGAATGAATAGATAATATAAGAATTACACCAACAATGCATTGGCAGTTATTTGGTATATTTATCAGAAAATATTATATATTCAAGTTAGAATTGTCTGAAATTGTTTACGATAACCTACATGCTCCTTTAAGTTAACACATGGAACTTTTGTCAAATGAATGAATAGATAGTATAGGAATTACACCAACAATACATTGGCAGTTATATGGTATATTTACCTTATGGTTTATGTATTTATAAACAATCTAACAAATGTTAATTTTACACAATGCGATACATTTTCCAACTGTATTGAATGGTTATTGTTTTTTTCTATGAACATGAATCTCAATAAAAATATATTCATTACAAATGTAAATTGTGATTTATCCGACTCGCTTAGCTATGCAGAAAATATCTATTCTTTGGTAAATAAAAGAGCAGGAATTGTGGAAATTGCAATGTAGATGCATTATAATTAACCTTTATTGTGAGAAATCTGATCAATAAAGTTCAAGATAAATTTAATAATACAGTACGACATACTGTACAACTCATGATGAATTTCACCATATTAAATGGCCAATTAATATTTAATGTATAAGTTCATTTCCAAATATCCACAGTTATGTGATTTCATTTGACTGTTTAGTTTTTAGAATATACATATATTTTCACACATTGAATCCAGCATTTTTCCAAAATTGACACAGAGAGAAAAACTTTGCTATACTTCAAACATTTCCATCCAAATGTAATTTCTTCTTGAACTCTTCAAAATTTATAAATATTTCATGTTTACAGAAGTTGTTATTTTGCTGGTCCTGAAAGATGTTAAAAATTGGGAGTTTCATGCCCTTGGCTTGTAATAACCACACAAACCCCTGTTCTCTGTAGAGCAACCACATAGTAACCAGGCAGTGCATTAACTTACTAGTAAAAGTATTTGCAGACTTAACAAAAGCTTATTATTTAAAATAACAGAAAATGATATATTATGAATGTATTGATAAACCCCTATAAAGTATGCATAATTCATTCATATATCTGTTCATACATTAACAGATATGCCATTATACAGTGAGTCAATATAAAATTTAAAAATATGAAATACAAGAAATGTACACAATACACATGTCTCATTATCATTTGACTCATTGGCAATTGCTGACCAACTCCAAGATATTTCGTCTATGACGTCATAATCTTATCGTATACTAGTAACTTAGCACATAGGGTGTTGATACAGTCTATTCTATGGTAATGTGAAAACATGCAATTTTGCTTAAATTTCCATCAAAATTGCCAGTCACCAGCAGAAAACCTCCAAAATTAGCTTTGACCAGCAATGCGTTAAATGAAATTAAAATAAAACAGTGCAATTGTACACTGAAATGTGCCTTAATGTGCACTGTCACTCACTGTGCATTATACAAATGTACTTTCTTTATCTCAAACTAATTCACCTTTACAAATTTGCCTCAGCTATTTTAGTTCATGGGTACACCTCTGGATTACGGTTATATTGAAACTTTAGTATGCTATACAGTATGTTCACTGTTCATGATTTCAAATACAATTACCGACATTCAAGTTCACTGTCAATGATTTCAAATACAATTACTGACATTTAAGCAGAAATCTTTTGTACAATGACATTTAAGATCTCAGTAGATGTAATTATATTAATGTATTAATACATGTTATGCATCAAATAGATACAATATAGGGCTCTTGCTTTTTTAGAATAAAACCTTGACAAATAATTTATGTCCACATTATTACTGCAATCCTCTGAAATGGACAAATAAATATACATATATGAGCTTAAGTTATGGTTTTGTTAAAAATGCAACAAACAATGGAGCGTCAAATGTACTGTCCGGATTCATTGGAATTAGAAATGGGACATTCACGTTTTGAAAACTCTCACATCAAAACATCACAGCAATGATAAAATATATCATATATTTTTGCCACCTTTTGACATTATACTACATAGCCATACAATTTCAGATGCTCATCTTAGTAACATTAGACGGCAGAGATCATTTCTACACATTTTAATACAACTTGTGAGTAAATTGGATGAAAATTATTCAAATAAGAGCAATTTTAGTGAAACATTTTGTGACGGATCTTCTCAACACTCTGGGTTTCAAGGTCATTTCTGAGGTGACGAGAAATCTCTCTCCAGATAGTCAAAAGGTTAAGCTATCCATTCAGACAGTCTACAGTCAATTTAACATTACACTATTGAATACCTTATTTATTTGCAGTTACATAGTTAAGTGTAGACCTTTGTATTTTAACCAAAGCCTCTAATACCTGTACATGCATGAGAAAATATAAAATTAGTACAGAAAAATGTCATGATATATTTGGCACCAGCCTCTTAAAATTGATCAGTATGACTGAAAATAGGTACGTACATTTACCTTAATATATGAATACCTCTTTGAGGCAAACAACCCCAAAAATGAACACTTCTTCATGTCCAATTATTTAGATATGCCATCGACTTTCAGGATATCAAGTTTTAAACACCTCTCAATTTTATTGGTGTCTTATACAAGGTGTTTCACTGTACATGTACAGTGTACATACAACTTCAAAATTCAATAAGAATAAAAGTTCAAGATCAAAATGTGGCACTTTTAAAGATTGTATACAGATTATGCATGGACAATAATTTTGAGCATATGTGAATTTACAAACTTCCAATATTACTATATGATTTCAAGTTATCGGGGAAATCGTCCTTGTATAACACTGGATCTGCTCGGAACTCGACTGTTTTTAAAGGCATTGCCTCGTATAACTGAGTGAAATAATGGACGCACTCTGACCGTTCGACCAAGTGGGTTGCATCAGCTGATAACATGTCCATATTTTTACACTCTGGGCATTTGAATTTCTGCCTCGGTGCGACCTTCACTGCTCCTTTTCTTGTGTGGTTTGCTATAAGAAAGTTCATCGCAATATCCTCACAGTTTATATGCTTGTCGACCCATTTCTTTAAGTTTCCTGGCATTGCATTCGTGTATAAGAAACTGTAGTGCTGGAAAAAGCAATATTTAAAGATTAAAGTCATGTATATATTTAACATTGTAAGAACTCTGAAAAGTTAAACACTGATTATTATGATGGTGATTATGGCTTGGGTTAATCCGGTATTACCTTTTTAGGTGAACAGATTGTCTTTGCCAGAGTCTAGATTTAATCATGTGACATTTCAAGAAAAATGTTAAGGTTGAGTCAAATGTAGCCACTCTATCTACAATTAAACTAAATGAGAAAATTGTTATAACTTTGTTAATTTTGAGTTAATTAAAGTATGCTTATTGCATAATTAAAAGCTGTCTATTTAGCAACATTTGACCTTTTTTCATTTTTGGTAAAGTTTTGCCTTAATGGATTGGTTAAAGGTTAAATATATTAGCATTATGAATAAATGTAAATGGTATGTATTAGTATATGATGTAATTGCACAAGCAATGCAAAGATTGTTTTAATGGCACACATAGAGTTATCTGATATATCTATGAGTAATACGTAATGAGTATAAGATAAACATGGAGAAATTACCTCTCAATATGAGGGAAAATAACTTCTGGAACTCAGAAATATTCCAAGTTTTCAGAGGTAGGGGAGTGATTGGTGCTGGAATACAGGGTGATCAAATGGTTGCTATGGTAACATTACCACATGGTGAAATGTAAAAAAATGTCAGCACCAGACCTGATACTTATGGAACACCCTGTACAGTAATGATGAAATATCAACAGAAGATGTTAGAATTTCAACTTACAAACGTCATAAGACGACAAAGCAGAGAGTGCCCTACAAACTGCCAATATTAGGAAACCTCTTCAAATCAGACGGAAGTCTATCCTTATACAAGACGGGATCGGCTCTAAATTCCATTGACTTCAACGGCATTCCACCATACACTTCAGCAAATGTATTAATGCACTCAGACCTCTCGACCATATGCAGTGGTAAATCACCAGATATCAATGCCTGGCATTCGGGACATTTGAATTTCTGCCTCGGGGCAACTTTAATCGGAAACTTGCGTGTGTAGTTGGAGATGAGAAAGTTCATAGCAATATCCTCACAGTTCATATGATTGTCTACCCAGGATTTGATATGCCCCGGCATATTATTACTGTACAAATAGCCATAGTACTGAAAAGGAACAAACCATTGGTGGAACTCGGGGATGGAGGTGGGAAATGAGAAAACTCATTTAAAACTCAATTCAAGATAAACTCATGAATAAGTGTAAAAATTTAAATATTCTTAAAATCAAGTTCTTGTTTGAATAGAGATAAAAAAAAACTTTTTACACTTTTTCAAGAGTTCATCTTTAAGTTTATCCTGAGCTCTATTTCAAACCCCTAATGCAGCCCAAAAGAGCAGAAAATAGTTCTACACCATGACCATGCTACAATATAGAACACGATATACAACACAAAGAGTCCTAACCTCACAACATTAAATTATACCTTACAACACCAACTTAATCTAGTACAACACCAAATATCTCACAACACCAATATAAACCACTTAAGTAAGACCCCACAACATCAAATATCAACAAATCAATACTGGCCTGCCACCAATCTACAACATACATTTTACAATATAAAAGAACCGGTAAAGAAAGGAACTTATACACCGAAATCAAGAGTGATGTATGACCTAAATGTAAATGTGGCTTAACAAGCCTAAACCACAACAGTTCATGCAGACATAATACATCAAATGCTAGCGGTTGAATGAGCTTTCATACAGACTCGCATACAGGCACTGTGTGAGAGCATAATAGCTCATTGAAACGAGAGAATAATACAGCAATATAATGAAAAGTATAGGAGAAAGTATAAGAGCATGTATTTGAGAAATAGAGTGAAATAAAGTTGAATGTGCAAGAAAGCAAGGAATATGAAAAACAAGCGTGAAGTCACACATCCAATCGACCACTCCAGTAACTCATGCCACCTATTGTTGGTTATGATGTCATTTTTACAGCACCACCTATTGGTTAAGATGTCATTCTTACAGTGCCACTTATTGGTTATGATGTCATTCTTACAGTGCCACCTATTGGTTATGATGTCATTCTTACAGTGCCACCTATTGGTTATGAAGTCATTCTTACAGTGCCACCTATTGGTTATGATGTCATTCTTACATATTCAGGGCAAAAATGTGTCTCTTTAACAAACATTGCCAACAGCAAAGGATGACAGCATAATTCTAGATTATACAGTATACCCTAGTTTAGTTGGTCAGGATATATTGAACTCGTCTATTTTAAATAAATTGTCGTGTATTTTATAAAGAAACTGTATCAACTTAATCATTGCAAGGATGGATCTTAGATCAATCATGATGTTTGTTAAAAGCAAATGAAAATATTAGTAAATGACATATGAAAAAACAGATTCATGATCATATTGTGATTTATCAGTCAAGATTTATTTATTAACTTTTTTTCATTATATTTATTCAATTAGGATTTGCCATGGTTGAATAGCAACAATAAATGTGACTTTTCTTTTCAGCTAAGGAGATGAAGATTTTACACTTTATGCAACATTCTTTCATTTCTAACATGACATATGGATGACTTCAAAAATGAAGAAGGAAATGGAATTAAGAAATAAACTGACACCACATCACAAAACATAAATTGCACTACCCTACATAATGCACAATACTACATAATGCACAACATTACACAATGCACAACAAAATACAGTATTTGGCAAAACCAAAGCGTAAATGAAATAATGTGCATAAAACCAAATGAATGTTATTAATATGATATAATAATTTATTAATAAGGTAATTATAGTTTGCTGCAACACATAACATTATCATGTTCAAAATATAGTATTTTTCAAAGACTGCAAATGTTGTTATACTTCTGAAGCACCACTGGCCTTGTATAATTACATTAATATTCCAGGAATGCAAAATTGTAAAAATAGATAACTGACATTATTGTTAGTCTAACAGTTATTAGATTCAAGGAGAATCACTGTTCCACAGCTGGATGACTCTAACTGCAGTTAGCTTCATTCAAAATGGTTGTCGAAATTCTATCGTTTTCGATAAACCTCCAATTTCAGCTGAACTAAGTTGAATCTAGATTCCAAATGTTTCGCCATGCAAATTAATAAAGCTGCGATTGTAAATAACAACAAATAAATGCTCAATCAACCACGATATTGGAGTATTTTAAAGAAAATGGCTTCACTTAGAATGACTCTTATTGAAGTTGATGATGACATAATGATGACGTAAATCATCAACTTCAAAAAAATTCTCTAATTTTATGGGTGATTGGGCATTCATTTGTGTTTCAATACAACCGAGTTTTATTAATTTGCATAGCGAAACTTTTGGAATCAAGATTCAACTTAGTTTAGCTGAAATCGGAGGTTTATTGAAAATAAAAGAATCTCGGCAACAATCTTGAATGAAGCTAACTGCAGTTAGAGTCATCCAGCTGTAGAACAGTGAGAATGAGTGTTAATAAGAAAAATCTGAGAAGTTTGAACAATATAAATACATAAGCAAAATGCATCAAAACAAACCTCAGACTAATTCCACATAACAATCATCTACCTGTAAATTAGTCACACAAATTATGATCTTTGGCATTAACTGAGTAACTACTTTAAGTTAGTAAATGCTATATAATCTACCCCTGTAATGATGCTGTAAATACCTTATGATAAAATGCTGCCCCTGTAAGGACCATTGATATCTCACTGGTCCACTCAGATTCATACTTCCATTTCTGTGTTGTGTTGTCCCATAGATGGAGCCTTGAAGGAAAGCCAACGAGACGATCGGGAAACTCACGCCAAACCTGCATGTGGAATTTGAAAGTGTTAAATATTCAGTTCAGTTTCAATTTGAACCGCATTTGTATTAACACTTAAAGCGCAGTAAGTGTCTGTAATTGTGATCTTTTAATCAAAAATGTAAGTTACATATAATTTTGAATTAAAAATACACTTGAGTTATTTAGGATGAAAATAACAGCTATTGGCCCTCCAATTTCAAAAAATAAACAATGAATTCATGTATAGGCCTAGGTAATAATTTAGAAAAGGACCTAATAAGCACATAAAGTGTGTCCTTCGAGAAATTACTCTCATGAAAAACAAGTGTTGAAGCTCAGTCAGTACTATTAACCAAATATAACTCTTCCAAAATGGTGTTTTTGTTTTAATAATTTCTTAAAAATGAGTGAGAAAACACGTGAGAACACTTGTAAACTGTTATTATTTCGTTTATTTATGCTGAACCCTACCTGGTATCCAAACTCTAGTTCATCAGTTGTCATCATAACTATATCATCATCTAAGGCCAGTATAGCCTCTGTCTCAATCTCATCATAAGGGTAGAATCTGAACAAATAAACAAATATTTTATTTCATAATTTCAAAGTTGAAGAAGACATGAATAATCTCAAAATTCATTTTTGAAATATGTTTCAAAAACGGACCACAGAGTGAATAAAATAAAATTTTGCGCCCAGTTCAGAAAAATCTAGGAATAACACTGAACACTTTACTGACCTGTTACTTAGCTTGTTCTGTCGTGTCTGTACGACTTTCAAAGGTTTGTTGATCTTTGGCCAAAGTGAGGCTAAAACACAAAACAATTCAATGTTACATATGCTCTATAAAGTCTGCAATGCTCTTACTCAAATCAATATTCTCAAATAAATTCACTTTGGTTATTTGGACAATTGAACTGGAAAAATAATTGTACACATTTTATGCATCTTTAAAAAAAGCTGAGATGGGTGATTTAAGCTCAATGATAGGTTAAAATGGCAGCATTACAAATATGAATATGGCACTTTATAGAGCAAAATTGCGCCATGTAATGTACTCAGCAAGCCCAAATCCTAATCAGGTCTTAGCTGTTCTCTGATCTTGCATCTGTATAAAATTCAAGTTGAATGCATGAGCAGTAGTCCTGATGAAAATATTTATGTTGTGCCTAACAACCCACACACCTGCCATCCTCAGAATAAGATGACAACAATACAGCAATTTAAAAAAAAGTTGATCCCTAGAGGAAGAGAAGTATATACCTTGAGGTGGGAGCTTTTTCTGGTTATTCCAGACAACAAGGACTTTAGAGAGACTGGGTGTCTTGGCAACCTCTGTGATGACACGGAACAAAGATTCGAGACGATCAAATGTGAGTATAACTGCAGTGAACCCTGCAGACTTGGGCGGCATCAGGGGGAGGAACAATGGATTCACGACACCATCCTTGAAAAGAAAGATTGCATCATATGTGTTTATCAAGAACCGTAGAACTTGTATATTCTATCTAACACACTTTTTCTCTGTTCCCAATTTTGTTATCCCCCATTGCCTTGCATATTAAGAAACCTTGAATAATGATTTGATTGATTTTACTGATTTTCATCTATGTATTTTTGCTCTTTTCACTTATTAAATTCAAAAGGAATAAATATGAGAACATACAAAATCCAATTTGGCAATATTTTGACCCTCTGATAACTCCTCTCAAATAATCAAGCTATCAATTATAGAGGCTAAAATCTATATAATGAAAATCTGACCTCATGATAGTTGTAAAAGTTTCATTCTTTATTCATACTCTTCAATTCTCTCCTCACCCTAACCCATACATAGCATTTTGACTATGTTGAGGAGTAAATGAAAATGATGTATTTGAACATTAAATAGTGTTACCCTATATGGAGGCTCATTCCATTCTTCGTACTTCCTCCCTGCATATGGAAACACTCTGTCATTAATAATCTGTAATGTTGTCAGTGTGATGTCTTTTATTGTTGCAAAGTATGTCTCATAGTAGAATTTAACCTGAAACATATGAACAATATATCTTTTGAAAACCTGTAACTATCAATCAATATCAAATCAATGGGATAACATGAAAAAAAGAATCCAACTGTCATCTGAAATAAAATCATTTTTAGTCAAACAATATTTTTAATATGATCATTTGTTATTAGACTATAATTTACAACAATGCACTGCAGCTGCTAATATTGGAAACAGGCATTTCAAAAGTTCTATTATTCCCCATTTCAATTGTTTTCATCTCGGAAATATGCATTATACAATTGTATGTGTTGCAGGACCTTTGCAAATACATGTAATGGTTACTGAGTTTTTGAATGGTCAGAATTACACAGCAGTTTAAATTGCTTCTTTAGGAAGCATTTTGACAAAAAAGGTTCTCAATAAGGGATTTTTGAGGAGTCATAGACACAAACCCTTTGTAACAAAGCAATTTAACACCATGCTGTGTAACAGGTATCATTGTACTTTGAAGACACAACATTATTATAGTGTTCTATAATACAAGACACAAACCTGTTTCCGCATGGAGTGTATCTTCTCTATAGAAATGTCCTCCAGGATGTGCCCTATATCTGCAAGGTCATCTTCACGTACAACCACAGCTGCTCTGTAAACACACATACAACGTAAACATTGAATCATCATAGTGACTTTTAATGTGAAATTAGAGTGGAATTGAGAGAAATAGATGAAAGTTAACATAAAGCAATTCATGAAAACTTGATATTGTCATAACTACTTAGTACCTTAAGTCTGATATATCATTATTTAATAGAACATGAGCTGAATGATTACTAATTTAGTTGGAATTTTTTTATTTAATATGTAGGATTTGGGTACAAAATATTACATCTCCCAAGACATGTGTTTTATGCCTTATTCACATTTGATCTACAGCAACGGTAAGGCAACCATAACATCAATATTGTGAAGCTACAGTCGCCATAGAGCAAATGTGACCGAGTAACTGCATTAATTAAGTGACTTTTTTCAGTTTCAATAATCATACCTTTCCCAATCTAGCACCTCAGAGAAAGGCATAATATAGGAGTCTGCTATTATAACTGGGATGCTGCTTGCTTTCATGCAATCATATAGTGCAGTCTGCCCAAGTCTTGCTCCACGTAGTACGATACAGAATGTCCCGTGCTGTAAAATAAACTCATATAATTTAAAAAGATATAATCGTTTTTTATAATAACTGGGATTCAATCATATAGTACTTTTCAAATAATAGAGAACTTTTGCATCTCATATTTTGGCAGAGTGCCAGATATTGTTTCCAAAATAACTTAGAATGCAAAATTTGATACAGGTCAACTTGCATTAACTTTCTATGTCATCAAGGAATTCCTGAATTTTACACACTATCTCCAAAGCCAAATCTTGTCCATACAACTCCGTCCTGTTGAATCTGGGAAGGTTAGGGTGCCAAATTTCCAAAACTGTCAAAATGTCAATTTCAAACTCCATTCCTCATGTCATATACATGTACATGTAGGCCTAAAAGTAAAAGCTCATTCTTCTTACCTGTAATATATGTGGATAGTTATATTTTTTCTCTTCACGGCATCTTTGGGTAAAGTTGAACTTGCCAGATGTGTCCGTGGGGTCCATTGTGCACTTATCTAGGACTAGAACATTTTTGTGGGTTGACGCTACTTTCTCGAGGTCTGCACGATACTCTGTATGAATCCCTGTCTGACCAGCCACAAATAAATATCTTCGCTTTTCTCTGAAAATTCAAGTTTCATTTTAGATCAAAATTTTGTAAAAACACTTTTGCAGTCTTGAGATAAAAGGAGAAGATTTGGGAATAGTTCCTGAGTTCAAAAAAGATGCCCATCACTGTCACCTTTCACTTGATATTTGGAAAAACGGCGATCAATATATGCCAGTCAAAAATTCTTATGTAGGCATTCTACAAGATATGCATCATGAAGATCAATATCAATGACATGAAGTTAATTGCTATGGTTACCAGTCCATAATACTCCATTAGGCTCTTATTCACTTCAATGATCATCCATATTCCACTACAGAATTTTTCAAGCAGAAATTTTACTCGACAGATGCATATTTAAAAGGAATGAGAAAGTGATAGAGAGTGGAAACTGTAAGGAAATTTTTCAAATATTGTGCAATTGTTTCACATGTAATCCTGATCTTTGAAAAAGCAATGACAAATTATTTGAAAATTATGACACATTTTGTTGATTCTCCAAAGGACAATTAAAATCATGCTTTGACAACATTCTGGTCGCGTTGATTTCACTCTTATGCCCTCAAAGATTTGAATGATCTGACAGATTTTCTGGTATAATTTTACAATATAGAGTATTTATAAATTAAGCTCTAATATGTGTATAAAACATTGGTTAAAAATTCTTTCAAAATCATGCAGTTTTCACCATTCAGAGCACTTTTCAAATTATTTTGGGCCAAAGTTGTCAAATAAGAATCCAAGGATATGTTTTGAAAAGTGAACCTCTCTGGAGCTACAGGCCTGCACTCTATATATGCTCAATTGTGCTATATTTAACATTTAAAACACAACTATTTTAGATGAATTGGAGGGAATCCATTTTAGTCAAAATAAAAAAAATCTCAGAAAATATGAAGACAATTATAGGATGGCGAATGACTGGTAATCCATAGAATGGTGAAAGTTTATTAATAAAGATTGCTAATTGTTACCATGTTTTAAATGTGAAATGACATGAAACCGTGGAAAACAAAAATTGATTTCCATGGTGAAAAAATAAGGAAAAAATGAAGAACAGTGTATATAGCAATCAATTAAAATGCTCATTATCAAATCATCAAATTTGACAGTTTATTTGATCTAGCTGTCTCGAGAACTATCTTATAACATAGGATTTAACTAGATCAGTCTGACTTGGAACTCCGTGACCTGCGACAAAAAGGAGGAAAGTATATTTAATCCACCTCAACATATTTCATTTCACGATGACACTTTTGTTAATTTCCCTCCAATGGGAAAAATTCAACGACGCTGCATATTTTCTCCGCCACATATATTTAATTAAGGCTGCCTTATTTGTCACTTTTAATAGCTGATTCTTAAGTTCTCAAGGCTTTTAATGGTGATGAACTCTGACTTGAACGTGCCATAAATGTTGAATGATGAGAGCAGTTTTTGGTTGTTCTTAATGCTAAAGGCAATTCCAGGTTTATTGAGAATTCCAGTCTCACCCTGAAGGGATCATCCTAGAAATAATCATTGACGAAAATTTTACTTACAAATATGATATCTCGGGTAGATCTATATGTGAGATCATTGGATTGTACACAGGAATTGGGACATCAAAGTTCCGTCGATAACTCCATGTTGAAAAACCACCGCCAGCTAACAGCGCCAAACCCCGATGTACATCTAGTGTTGTGTTGTAATCGGGCATGTTGCCTGGCAACATGTTGAATAGAAGATGATTGGTCCCATTATTCCATCTAGAAATAAAGCATGATTTAGGTCTACTTTGAGATGTGAACTCAGGTATCATCGGGAATTTTAAGAGAGATAATAAAATAAGAGGTTTTTCCCTCAGGAGACAAATTTTAGAATTGAGGTTGATGTTAATTATATTCATGGCAGGCACTTTTACACAAATTTTACCAATCTTGCCACGTTCAACTACAAAGCTTTGAAAGGAATTCACAATGGGAGCTTCTAGAAACATGGAATGAGAAAAGGTATAAAAGTGCAATATCACAAAAGTATTACTTACTGAATATAAATGAATTTTAAAGATATAAATAATTTCTAAAAGTGGATCTAGATTAGGAAAATGCAGCCATTGATATCCATGAGTGGATAAAAATGATATCCTGAGATATAAATCAAATACATACCTGGGTAGAGTTTGTAAGACTTGAGCTGTCACATCTAGCCTTACATTGTTCTGGTTGAGTAAATCTAGACTAGGGAGAAATAGACACGCCTCATCAGCGTTCTCAGTGTAGAAATCGCTATTGGCAATAGTCGTGAGTATCTCATGGAATTCCTTTGAGAGTGGGATTGAAATTGAGACATCATTTTCATCGAGATATCGAACCAATGGGTATATATACACACTTATCCTATTTTCGTCATTGTATCCGCAATGAGACACGTTGAAACATGTGTGAAATGTACATGATTCGTTTCCTATTAATGGTTTGGCACTGTTTGTTTTAATGGTGATTTCACCATGATAATTTAAATACTGCGACCGTTTATGACGACTCAGAGAATCTTGGTCACTGTCCATATCATGTGGCCAAAACTGGAATATCCCCGTGACCACAATCCCGACTATCAAAATCAAGAATAGCATCACGTAAAAGTTTTTATACTTTAGAGTCATCTTCGGTCCCCTCAGTCGCGATGACTTTCCAGCACCTACTCCAACACCAGACATAATAGTACACTTTTCGGTGCTTACTTTATATAAACAAAGTTGAGAATTTATTGGCTTCAATCCATTTTATATTTCAATTCGACACAGAGTTAGCCTGACATAAATGTGTGTTGTTCCCATTGAAGCTCCTGGTCTATTTGACGACCTGTAAGAAGAACTTTGTAAAATTAAACATGCTACATTAAGGTCATGGTGACATTGTAGGTTATAATGGGAATGTTCTCAGGTGACATTTCTGGATCGGTGTCACCGCAAGTACAATAGTTTATACAGAGGAGAATTACCCATGCATATGGTTACCCCTTTACCCAGTCTTTCAGGGTAGAGCTAGAGCTGCCAAAAACTTACAGAAAATATCTATATTTAAGACAGTTTTAAGAAAAAGTTCCAAATACAGTAGATTCATATTTTAATGAAAATTATATTACATGTATATGCAAATTATATCATTCAATAGATGGCACATGTTCAATATCATTTATGACAAATGAGGAATGTTATTTATATATTCTAATATCGCACATCTATAACAGACTGTTTTATTCATAAGATCACACTACCCTACCACGTGACCACGTTTAAAAGGGAAACAGGGTACAGCTTAGTTGCAAATGGAGGACGTGGGTTTAATTCCATATTTCTGAACGTAAAATACATTTTACATTTATTTCTAGTGTTCTACCAGACATAGAATTGATTCATCAAGCAGTGTGTAGAATATTGTTGGCAAAAAAACACTATAGGCAAAGATAGATAATAGTGGGCGCAGTGAAGCAAAACACGAATGCAATACACGATACATTTCAGTAAATCTATCAACGTATAGGGAGCATGTAAGTTTCCCTTCGAAAATGTTACATTGATATGTAATAAAAAAAACAGTTAACTGTTATTTAAACTGCGTGTCATCGTGTTATAGGTGGATACGTTTTCTAGTATGTTAGTCAACTGTATTTTTGTGAATTTGAATAAAACATTTTGAATGATCAGTTTTTGAGTACGGTAGTGAATTAGACCATTCAAGGGGTTCTATAGAAAGATTCTTCACATGTAGTTCAGGCAATTTTAATTATTCTGAGTAGCAGATAGTCATTAATACTGAGAGCGGATAGTCATTTATCATTAACGTGTTAATATTTAATTTCGTTATTTTATTTCAATTTGATACCTTAGTAACACGTATAATCTAGCGTTCTTGTTAATTTAATGACTAAAATGCATACGACCTGAAAGCCCGTGTCTAAATCTACAAAATAATGTTTACTTTATTTGGATTAAATAACAATTGATGACACCTCAAAGCATCAACAGGCGGCCTTTTTAGCATTACTTTCACTGTTTGCAACGTAAATGTACATGAGGTCGGGACATAGTATGTCTGTATAATCAGCTTACTTTCTCGCTCCCTGTACTATTGAACAATTTACATTCCTTGTACCCTGTATTGATCAACTTTTGCAGCTGTGTACCGTGTACTATGACATATCAAATATTTTAAAATCTAAAACGATATTATTTACATTCTTTCTTCAACTATCATATAACTTGGAACATGGACTTCACTATTGCACCACTGAAGTGTAGCGAATAGCAATATTGACTCACTCCGAGCACCAAACGTATTAACCTTTTGACTAAGCAGTCGATATACTCAAAAGCGACCTGGTTGAAAGCCAAAAGATTCGCGCATGCGCGATCGAGGTAGGGTAGTGTAAAGATATCTACTTTGAAAATTAAAGTGTCACAAAATATCAATAGATCTAATGTAATCATGGAGAGAAATACCACATCATTAGACTCACTCAGAGAAGACAAAAAGTGCATGCAAAAGAAGGTGCAAAAACACATTATTGGCGCAGGTCCTAATATCATTCATTTTTAAGAGTTCTCTAATTCTCTGAAAGTTGATTTATAGTTTACAAGAAAAAAAAAGTTCAATAAAACCTGGCTAATCTAAATACCTCTGGGACGAGCTAAAAGTGTTTAATTTAGAAGGTGTTCACATTTCAAGGTTTTATTTACATGTAAGTCAATGAGAGAAAATAAATTTGGGACTGAGAAAAGTGTTCACATTGAGAGGTGTTCAAATTAGAGAGGTGTTCGGATGCAGGTTTCACTGTGTAACTGAATTGAAATAACAAGAGGTATTTAACTTAATAAAATTCTCATAAGTATTTCTATGAATGTTCATCTCTCTGGTAGTAATGTACAAAGTTGTTGATTTTCTTTCTCAGAGATATTTATTTTTATTTTTGACGTTTTATTTCTGAAGAAGTAGGATGGACATCCTACGAAACGTCAAAAATAAAAATAAATATCTCTGAGAAAGAAACCATGTTGAAATGGACCATGGCCATAACATGGTAAACCATGGTATGACCATGGTATACCATGGTATATGGCCATGAAATGCAATGAAATACCATGGTAATACCATGGCCGATCATGATCGTTAAATGGCACCATTGCATTTCATGGTTAACAGTGCGTTTTTAACATGGAGTTTTCCATTGAAAAAATACTGCCGTTTCGCAGTATTTCATGGTCAGAAACCATCAAATGCAATGATATCATGGTCAAGTTCTCGGCCATGATATCATTGCATTTGATGGTTTCTTGACCATGATATCATTGCATTTGATGGTTTCTGACCATGAAATACTGTGAAACGGCAGTATTTTTTCAATGGGAAACTCCATGTTAAAAAAGCGCTCCTGACCATGAAATGCAATGGTGCCATTTAACGATCATGATATACCATGGTCAATTAACATGTAATTTTGTATCTAAAAAATACCACCGTTTCACAGTATTTCATGGTCAAATACCATCAAATGCAATGATATCATGGTCTAGACATTTAACCATGATATGCAATGGAGCCATCCAATTATCATGATCTACCATGGTATACTGTGGAAACTATACTAAAAATTTTGCATTAAAAAATACTGCTATTTTGCAGTATTTCAAGGTTGCAAACCATCAAATGCAATGAAGGACAGTCAAGATGTTTAATCGGAGACTGGAGGTTTGACTTACAACATCTTAAGTTGATCTCAAATAAAAAAGTCAAATAAAAGTAAAGCATATTTGTTTAACAAAAAAAATTGTTTCTAGGGTTATTAACTTAATTATTCATAATAGAAATTAATTTATTAAATAAAGATACAGAGGTATATTAAGTTGTGATTTTGATGAATATCAGAATCACTAATTATAATAATTTGGTTATCTAATTAACATTTATTAATAAAGATATTTCATGTAAAAAATACATCGTATTTCATTGTATTTCGCTGCATTACAAGAAAGACCATTGCATTTCATTGCACATCATGATCAATCATTGTATTTCATTGCATGTCATGGTTAAACGTGGTATTTCATTGCATTTCATGATCCATTTCAACTCTGACCAATTTTAGACTTGAGACTCTTCTAGAGTTCTTTTTAGCAATGAAATACCATGGTATAACCATGGTATTTGATGGTCAGGTTTGACAATGAAATGCTATGAAATACAATCAACCACGAAATGCAATGATATGCCATGATAAATGATAGTTATGATTATGGCAATGAAATACCATGTATACCATAGTATTTGATGGTCAGGTTTGACAATAAAATGCCATGAAATACCACCAACCATGAAATGCAATGATAAAACCATGACAAATGAGAGTTATGATTTTGGCAATGAAATGACATGGTATGACCATGGTAATTGATTGTCACACGGTACAATAAAATGCCATGAAATGTCATCAACCATGATATACAATGGTAATACCATGGTAAATAATGGTCAGGTACATAACAATAAAATATCATGGTATGACCATGACATTTGATTGTCACATTGTAGAATGAAATACCACCAACCATGATATGCAATGGTAATACCATGGTAAATGATGGTCAGGAACATGGCAATGAAATACCATGGTATGACCATGGTATTTGATTGTCACATCTTATAATGAAAATGCCATCAACCATGATATACCATGGTAAATTATGGTCAGGAACATGGCATTGAAATACCATGGTATTTGATTGTCACATCTTACAATGAAATGCCATGAAATGCAATCAACCATGATATACAATGGTAATACCATGGTAAATGATGGTCAGGAACATGGCAATGAAATACCATGATAATACCATGGTATTTGATGGCTAACTTTGGACATGAAATAACATGAAACATGGTATAACATGATATACCATGGTCAAAAATTGACCAAAAAAACATCATTGCCACCATGGTCAGAGTTGATGGTAATTTCATTGCTGATCATGATAGACCATGGTAAACCATGGTATACCATGGTATCATGGTTTACGTTTAAACATGGTAATCAACAACTTTGTTCTCACAAGTAATTTTTGTTGGGCTGTATGTGAAATTAATAATTTGTACATAGAGGTCCCTTGTGGCTTATGATATTGGCTGAGAACAGAAATCGCTCCTCATTTTATATCCAGCACCCTTTGTCTAGGGCGTGTCACTGGATATACCATGCCAGTGCTATAAAGATTTGTGTAGGCAAGACTATTCACTCTGGATACTGGTCACCACAAAGAATGACCACAGAAATCAAAGAATGAGTACTGGTCAAAAAATCTCAATGATCTCAACGGTACTTTAAAAAATCTGTTTGGGAAACTTGCAAAATTGAGCAAAACTTTGAATGCATATTTACTTGAAAATGTCAAAGTGATATTTATAATATTTTAATAATGATGATGATTGACATGAAGACCACTTCTTTTTACAGGCAAATCTACAAGAATTAGTTCACTGGGTGAAATTGATCTTTGAGTGTCATTAAGAAATATAACTAATTGTACTCTGGTGGCAAAATGTAAGGATGAGAGAATACATTGAGTAGGAGATGGTATGAAGACTAATATGACCTCCCCCATCCCCTCTAAAAAGACATAGACATGACAAAATATCACCCCCTGGAAAAGTTTAACAATTGTTATAGATGCCAAACAAAGCCTCTTGATGGTGACATTTAAAAAACACTAGGAAAGATGATTACAATTTATAAGACACCTAAAAACATAAATCTTGGGTAAACTGTTCTTGCACTGGTATGATGTGTTTAAATCTATACCACAACAGGTAGAAAATATATAATCCATAACATGGTCATATATAGTGAGAGTGGATTTTGCTCAACATTTGCTACTATGATCCACCTGCCAAATTCAAATGAAAATGCTGGTTTACCTGAGCAAGGTAAAAAGAATGTAACAGATGAGGAATCCCATGTTTTTAGTCTCCTGCAAGTCAGTTTTTCCTACCTTAAGTTAGATTCCTTTGTTTCAGTTGTGAATCAGGCTCAAATTAGGCTTTCGATTGATAATGAATGCCCAATAGACTAGATGCGAGTAGAAATGATCTTGATTTACGTCATTAAATATTCAAAATTCAAAGTGATGTCAAATTTGAAATCTACATGTAAAAATACATATAAAAATATGGTTTCGAAAATTGTTTATCAACTTTGAAAATTTAATCTTTTTTGAAAATGTGACTTCTATTTCGAGTTGATTCCCGATAGACCCCACATTACAAAATCACAAAAAGTGAAATATCTTTTCTTGTATTGGACATATAACATTTTCTTTTACTGGACATATATTGATACATAAGGGCTATATGAAAATTAAACCACTAAAACAGATGTAATTTAAGTTAAAGGGAACTTTCTACTATACCTGCCATGCTATCTGACCCGAGCGAGCCACCTGGTGGTGAAACTGGTAACTACCTACTCGCATTTGCGTTATTAGGAATTTTTACCATATGACATACTTGATTGCTGGAAGAGTGTCTATCCTGAACACAGAGAAATTTGCCTCCTTATAGTTCAACCAAGTCACGGGACATTATCACGAGACGCATGTGCAATAGCCATGAAGATATGGAAAGGGAATTTCATTTTCATATCCTGGAGCCAATTTCTATACCATTTGTAGTAACGGACGTTCGTAAGTCAATTAATTGTTTAATTTGCGAATTTCAAAAAGTTGCACTTTCGTAAGATTCTTAAAGTTACGAACGATTCGTAAGGTTACGAAAATAGTGACGTCATGCCTGCTTTCGTTCATAGATTTAATAGCACCTCTGACCCTTTCATAACTTTATTTATATTGTGATTTGAGATGTTTTGTCATTCTAAATCAAAGAACACAAAGGTGATCAACTTATCATCAGCCTATTTCTATATCTGTTTTATCATTTTTCATGGAATCTTTATTTCTATAACGTTCTTATTGTATGACTTTGGTTTTATTTTCTTGATAAACCCTGTCTGTTGGGCTATCTGTCCTGAAAATGGTGGAGTATGATGTCAACCCATTTCTAAATCTAGCTCTAAATGATTTACGAAACAGTACAAAAATGGTCCATTCACAACTTAACGAATACGTAACTCATTCGTAACTTTTTAAATATTTAGGAATCGCGAATGTTGGTTACTATGAACAGTGCAAAAACGGTCTCCTAGTATATAAATCAGCTTATACAGTAGAGAACTTTCCATGAAGGCAAAGGGATGTGACGTTGATGTAGGGGGGTAGTGTTGACATGAGGATATCAAGTTACATTATCCTACCACACGTATATGCTCTAAGGTGTCTGTGTGAGATATGTAACTCAAATGAAATGAAAATGTCTTCCCCCTTCTAGATGAAAAATTATGGCAAATAAACAAAAAGGTGTCGAATTTAAGTTACCCCACACATCAAAGTTACCCCAAATTGAAACAAAAATGTAGTCAAAGTGAAACCTTTACTACTTTTTTCAAGGCCTGACTGCGTCGCTAACATGCTAAATATAAGAGTTAGCTGACATTTGGGAGTCTGACTTACCTTCTAAAGGTTAGAACCCGAATCTTAATAAAACCATATCACCTTTGTTGCGTCGATGATGATGCATAAACATAGCATTTGATAGAAATTAGCGTAAATGCTTTTCCGACTTTTTCATTTTTCATCAATGTTGACTACCGGGAAGGCGTTGTAGTTATCACGAAATAACGCATTGACCCTTGAACTTTACTTTGTTGACGTGTCAACCAAGCATGTCTGGTGTGAAAATTAAAAGAATATTAAGCAATGTTCTACATCCGCCAAGCTAAGTGAAGTAGTCAATATTTAAAATTACCAATTTCAAGTGAAGTACGCAACGAACGAAACTGCGTGATCTACACTCCCACTATTGGTCTGAATGAAATGCTACGTAGAAATATGAGCCGTCTGCTGTATTAGTCGATTAATAGAGTAAGACCTGTTGGTGATGCTTTATAATTTAGACCAAAACATTGAAGAACAAACGAACCTGTAAATCGTGAAAACAACGAACAAATATTCGGTTTTCACATATGTTCGGTAATTTTTCGTATTGAAACTTCCGGAACTTACAAGGAAATCATTTATTTTCTCGGTCCATGATTTACCTCTTGGATGTTGTGGCAAATGCTCCATGGTTGACGGAACAAAGGTGATATGGTTTCATTAAGATTCGGGTTCTAACCTTTAGAAGGTAAGTCAGACTCCCAAACGTCAGCTAACTCTTATATTTAGCATGTTAGCGACGAAGTCAGGCCTTGAAAAAAGTAGTAGCCTACAGTGTACAAAACAAACCAAAGTAGAACCATTCGCTTTCAAGAAACAACAAGAATATGGTAAGACATAAAGTGATTTAAACATTACAAACCTGTAGTTCTACATGTTGTTCATCAAAATACGAATGGAAGTCATGTAAATATACAGTAAGAGAGCTTTAAATCAAAGGAAAAATAGCTGAAAATAAATAACTTCTTTCCAACTTCCTATTTGAAGTGTCTACGGAGTGAATGAAAGTGAAATTAAAAAATTAATAAGATATCCCAAACTTAAATATGTTCTAAGATTTGATAAAGGAATATGTTTGATAATAATGTAAGACTAGATCTATATTTTACAATGCTTTACTTTTGAAGATACTAATTGAATCATAATCGAAATATATGTCGGCCAATCAAATCGATTCTAAGATTCGTTCCGTATTACTAGATTCAGGAAGTTTCATTTTCGAATGCAAAATTGATTATCTCTCTGTTTTCCTCAATATCTTCGGCAATACCGTAGTAAATAAGTCGAAATTATCAAAGCACAAAATGGAAATATTGCAGATAGCCCTGTAGTGATTTGAAGTGAAACGATGCCTGGGATAGTTGTTTTTAAACGACGATGGTCCGTCGGTTCTGATGATTTGGTTGTGCCTGCTGTCTTTCTGATTGTACTGCATTTGATATGGTGAGTAAATAACGCAAGGATCGGTTTCAATGAAGTGAATTATTGTAACATTGAATTGCTGGGTATATTGATCCTTTTGTTACATGTTTGCGTCAGAATAGCAGGTTGTAATACCTCCAAACAGTCTAATGTTTATTTTATGCATTATTCATGCGAACTGTAGAGTCCATTTCACTGCTTCATTTCGTCAGTAGAACGGCAAAAATAAGAAATTGGGAGACCATTGTGCAATAATATATGGAAAAGTGTATTCAAAATGTACATGAATGACATTTGTATATTTCAGATTTTTTAGTTTTTTGTGCAATAAGCCTGTGCCGTCTTGTAATTTGAAGAATTTCAGCCATGTTAATCTTATTGAAAATAACATGGCAGAGAAACATCCAAATATAAGAGGCCACACACTTTATAAGCCAAACTAGAAGCGATCCAAAATATACAAATGTCATTCATTTACATTATGAATATACTTTTCCATATATTATTGCACAATGGTCTCCCAATTTCTTATTTTTGCCGTTCTACTAACGAAATGAAGCAGTGAAATGGACTTTAGGATCGGCAATTATTCTTTGAATAACCAGTGTTCTATAAATTGTATGTTAATTCAACATTTCCGGACATATGCCTCATCATTTAATTAATTAACCTAAAAGTTTATGTGTGTAATCTTGCCTGTTCTACTAAAGCGTAACACTACTCTTATTTTTTCATCGCATCTGCGAATTTGTTTTCATCAATTCATGATCTATAGTTCTTACTTAGCATTTTAAGAGATTTATGCCTATTTGCTTTGATGTCAGCATTGATATTTACAAATACTTCCAATGTTTACAACTGAGAGATTTGCTGATTGTTTGTGTCAGTTATTTTTAACTTGTAATTCATATTTGTGAACTTCTCCAGGTTGTAAAGGTCTCCTAGGATAGGTTTATAAACTCAATTTTCACTCTCTCTAGTCATTAGTCCAACAACATTAGACCTAGCCTGGGCCTCGTTTCTTATCTGATATGTCTAACCTCCATGATCATTTTGCCTTTGATGCGTTAATAAAATTCCTAAAAGTAAAGAACGCAGTTATTGAGTTTTACGACGTTGAACTATCAAGTCATCAGATATGCAATGCAGTGCTTGCATCATTTAGGTTTAATCTGTGTAAATCGTATATTGCAAGATCTATCTCTGTTAAAGGGCCAACAAAGATTATAGACAAGCTGAAAAAATGTCACAATTTCAAAATGATCTTTTTGCACTCATTCCAAGTCTCTTTCTAGTGTCCAACAGTTTGACTTTATTTCAGAATAACCCTTTGATGATAATGGTTTTCTGACATAATATTATAAAAGGGCACAGGTGTTTTATATGTATGTGTTATATTATATATTATATTGTTTCATATTAATAGCTGCCTTATGGTTTGCTCTCCCCAGAATATTCTCAATTGCAGAGTGTTAAATTCATAATTTTAGCAAGCTCCAATATAAAACACGCTTTTCATATCATATCAGGACATCGATGCTTCTCTTTGACAAGTTCTCTCAAATTCTTTGTGAGATCAATATATACTGTAAAATTTCACAATAATGATAAACCCACATGATTTGTTTCAATCTAATTGTATTATCTACCTTTAATCATAGATGTATTTTAATCCCACATTATAATCACTATTCATTTCCTCCACAAAAACTATTAGATTTATTTGACGTGAATATTTTTTTGATCAACTGATACAAGATCAATATAAGTTATTTATAATCCTGCTACAGACAAAATAACATTATGATACAACAGACATTTGTATTCATAACACTTGTTAGTATTTTATCGTAATATCCAGGCCAGCTGACATTCTTCCGTATAGTATTGATGTTACCATGTTTTAACTGTTGTTTTTTAACAAGTGATATTACATGATAAAGGTATATTGATATATTTTTCCATAGTTTGAATGCTTTATGGTATACTTGGTGTTGTAGCATTTGGGCGATGTACCCAGAAACATCACTTGAGAATTTCAGAAAATCATGAAAATTGTTGATAACTTTTGCCTGAATTTTGCCTATTGTATGTATGTATTCTGTATTTGCATCTATTCATTTAGACAGTTACATGGTATATAATGATATAAGGTAGAAGAGAATGAGAATGCTGATGATATAAATTTTCAAAGCCAGGACTGCAAGAAAAATGGATTTATGATGCATAAGTTTGTTTGACAACTAGATTTTAAATTGAACATAATTTTAACATTTTACTTCAATGTTATCAGACTATCAATATAAAATTTTACTTGTCAAGTCCACCTTGGTTACTAGATTTTTAACAGAATGCTGTTTTTATATGGTTTGGTTTGATATCAGCATATTATTGAATAGCTATTAAATACCTTTTATATGAAAATTCATATTTTGATGTGGGATTAATAAAGATACATACATACATGATATATTTATAGACCTCATACTGTATCAATGATACATTCTAATAAGTAGAAATACGTACATATTTTTTGTGTGAGGCTATAAAAAGAATTGTTAGATTATCCTGAGGGTATTCTGTTTTGTTGTTAAGAACTAGCAGTGATAATCTCATCATTCAATGATGGCTCAAATTACTAGAAAATAAGTCAATCCTATTTCACGAGATTTGATTTGGTTGTCATATAAGTCACCCTTTATATCCTGAATTCATACTCTTCCTCTGAATAAAACCGATGATTTACCAGTTGATATTTTAGAGTTTTCATCCGTATGTGACTATAATACAGTAGAGCCTTTGTACAGTGAATACCTATAGAGCCACAAAAGTGTGTTCATTAGTGGTACATGCTCATTACAGAGAGGGTAATTATACAGAAGTCAGTCGAGCATATGTAGGGGAATGGTGTCTACTAGAGATAAGTGTTCACTAGAGAAAGGTGTTCATTAAGACAGGTATCACTGCAGTGATCTCCCCATGTCACTTTTACCGGGGGCTCCCCCTACTTGAAACCAAAGGCCCCCAGTTTGCACCCAGTTGGAATCTGCACTTCAACTTCTGATTTGAAAAATGAGTGAAGTTAGCACCTACACTGAGATATTGTGAGCGTAGCGAGTGATGATTTTTTCAGCACTGTAACCTTGAACTTACTAGTAAGCTTTCATGTTTTTATAAGAATCCAAATGATGTTCTTACTTCATTATCTTATTGGTTATATAGTATAAAATCTGTAATTTAAAGAATGTAGACAATCTAGCTTTGTCAAAGGATAGACTGTCTGTATTAGTAGGCGTGATATCAGCTTGATCTTATTGTATTACATACAAGTTGTTCAGCATAGTTTCTTTTGCTATGATATACTACAGGGATATATGTCTATGCTTTGTTAAAGAAAATGCCAGATGTACTATTAGTTTTTAATGAATTACATTGGTACCTGTTACACTGCTGGGTTGAGTCTAACGAAGCATTTTTGTAACGAAGGTTAGCGAAAAAATTGTGTCCACACTGGCTTTATCCAACCCTAACGAAGCAATTATTTGGTGTTACACTGCACTTAAAATGCTTCGTTGCGCGTGCGCATTACTCATCTGCCCCACCCACTTATTATGATTAATATTTTTATTCTTTTGATATAAACCATTGATCAAACTCAAAAATCTAATTTTTAATCTTTATTTTAACAAATCAGCACAGAAAAAGACTAGTCCAAAATTCTCGGGAAAATAAAATAAGATGAATGTGATCATTCCGTACACATGTCCATACATTTTTCCTATCATTTCGATTTTTATATATTTCAGCTGTCAATACGATTACAAGTATTGTTTTCATTTTCTATCATTTCCTTTGGAAAACATATGGAATAAAAATAGGTCTATGTTAATTACTAGGAGGAATTGGATTTGGGGTTTATACAGACGACTGGTATGTAATATCGTATAAAAACGTTCAATTTCCAAATGGACTTCTCAGTTATATTTCAAATAGTATAGCCATTACTAAAATATCTCGGTGTTCGGCTGGTGGTTTAACTCACGCGGTCCTAACTTCGATCGTTAATTTGAATTTTCGACCTACCAGATGCTTGAAAATCGAGGATTGCGAGTCTCATACTGCACCGTTTTTCTTCAAACCTATACCATTAAAAGCAAAACAAAATTGCCTTTCTGTCGGTGCATTACTTTATTGTAAAGAGACCCTCGTTCTAGCAGCGTTTTGGTCCTCAGCTGTGAGAAGGCCTTCTTACAGCTGGGGACCAAAATGCCGCTGGAAGTAGGGACTCTGTTTAAGAGAATAATGTACCATCAGAAAGGGATTTTTGTTATGCTTTGAATGGAACAAGTTTGAAGAAAAACGGTGCAGTATGAGACTCGTAATCCTTGATTTTCAAACATCAGGTAGGTCAAAAATTCAAATTAACGGTAGAAGTTAGGACCGCGTGTAACTACTATTTCATGACCAATTCATTTTAATATGAATATTACCCGTCTCGCCAATACTCCATGCATATTTGAGTGAGCTTGACATAAATTAGTATGTTAATCCATCAGCCGTCCGTTGAATTCGAAAATGGCGCAAATAGGAAGAAACTTGAATATCAGTTGTACGCATCGTCTTACGACACGCCTAAAACATGCAGCCCCTCTAGATCTGTGGCAAATATCTGTCGACAAGAAACAATTTTGGCCACCGTTCCTTGTCCGCAGGTTTTACCGTATTTGTATACGGAAGTTTTGAAACGTAATTAATTCAATATATTTAAACATGAAGTTTAAATTCAATTACTATTTAAAATCGTCGAAGAATAAAATAATGGAACGACTAATACAAATACATGTATTGCAATGGGGCGATAGCCAGTTGAATACGATTTCTGAAGAGAGACATTTTCGGATCAATCAAATCGGCTATATTCCCTGATGTGACTCACCGGGAAGCAATTGTATCAGTATCATGGTATTAACACCTTTAGAATTACATTCAAGGTATAATTATTCTAGGCGCGAGAGAAAATT